CCCCGGCCTTCATGCTCTCTTCTCCCCCTCTCTTCCTCAGATGCAGAACGCCTCGTGTAACGCTGCTGCCCCTCAACTCCTGTGAAGCTCCGTGGGTGCATCGAATGCCCACAATATTACGAAGTAGAGGGGATGATCAAATTTGCTCCTCCTGATGATATATGCCCCGAGAAATTTGGACTCCCTCTCACCCCGCCGTGCTGGTGGGTGTCCCTTCATGACTTGCTGGAAAAAATAAACCCGCCCCCGACGGAAGAGAAATGACTTTGTAGAATGTTCCCCCGATTCTGAGCACCCGTACGAACCGTCATGTCGTGTGCATTTGCACAAATGTTCACATATATGCCACCACAGAGGCACACACGTGGACACCACATCCACCCCTCAGTCTTTGCACACCGGTGCAACCCGTGACTGAGGGGATGAAGTACTGGCTTTACTTGGTGACACCGTTGGTCCTGGCCTTGACCACGCTGCCGTTGGAAAGAGCATGGCCGTTCGCGGAAGCATGGCCGTTGCTGTGTAGCTTGTTCTTCTGATCGGCGACCCCCGCCGCCCCCACCACCTCCACCTCCACCGCCTCGTCCTCCTCGTCGTCGTCCTCGGCCTCGCTGCGGTCATCATCGGCGGCACGGTCCCTGATGAAGCGGTAGGCGACGCGGATGATGAAGAAGAGCCAGAAGAGGTTGAGGGCCTGCAGGGACGACAGCAGGCCGAGAGTGATGTAATTGGAGAGCGAGGACTTGTACTGCTCGGCGGCCCAGTCGAGAGTGTAGGGGCCGACGGTCTTGTACTCGTTGAACATGGACCACAGGATCTTGAGGTTCAGATAGTGACGCATGTAGATCCAAACCACCACGAAGAGGAAGAAGAAAGGGCCGACAATGGGGCTATCGACGTAGTTGAGAAGCTTCGAAATCTGATGGTTGGTTGGGGGTGATAATGTCAGTCATCTTTCCCTTTACATGGTGGGGAGGAAGCACTCACAGCGAGGAAGAAGTCGCTAATATCATGGGTCGTGTACACGGCCAGCCCCATATAGGTGAAGTGGAAGCGGTAACTCAGACCGATAAGAGTCAAGGTAACAATATGGTGGCCGACAAGCTCCTTGAAGTCCTTCCTGGGCTTCTCCATACCGAGGACAAGGACGATAGCCTGCTGAGCCCAGTAGGCGGCCTGGAAGAGATAGTAGAACTTGAAGCCGGCCTCGTGGGTGCGGTGGGGGAAGTTCTCGTACATGCCCCGGGTGTTGTAGTACCATATGGGGCTGCTGCGCATGACATACATGCCGGCAGGACCCAGGAAGGCAAAGTAGATGGCCGTGTAGGCCTGTTCCATAAATCGGGCCTGCTTGGCGCGGGAGCGGATGCCGGCGCGACGGGCGAGGGGCTTGAGGATCTCCTGCATGATGAACTCGCGGGTGAAGGAGAGGACGATGGTGTAGAATGCGACCAAGGCGAGGTCATTGATGCCCTTGCCATAGTGGACGGGCGAACCAGGAGGGGGCGCTAGAGGATGGTCGGAGCCCGCTTCGATCGGGTAGGAGAGGAAGATGAACCTGTGGACCGGGTTCTTCTCGGAAGGATCGAGGGCATAGAGAAAGCCGAAGACAGCAAGGAGAACGGTGGGCAGAAGATAGGTGCGCCTAATCATGGCTTGGCGAATCCGGGCGAGGAAACCCCGAGCGCGACGTCGTTTGGACACTCGCTGGTGAGAAATTTGCCTGCGGTCAGCATGTGATGTCTTCTTGTATCAGGAATAAGATGGACGGAAAGAAGAAAGAAGTAAAAAAAAAAACAAAAAAAGAAAGGAAAAAGGACTGTGATGGGAATATGAGAGCGTGTTTTGGTCCTTACTTGGGAATGGTCGGAGCGGTCGGATGCTGCTAAACTGGCCTTGGAGGTGGCCAGAGCCGCGCCCGTGTCACCGGCGCGGATATCCTGGCCGATGGCGCTGGATTGTCTCCTTCGGCGGGCAGCAGCACTGGCAACTGCGCTCTGATCTGGGAGGGCGGCATGAAAATGGTCGGCCGAGGTGTTTAGGAGCGGGAAAGGTTCGGAGCCCTCCATATTTGCTGGGCGGGTCGGGAGGTCGGGAGGTCGGGACCGGCGGGAATCTTTTGTGGGAAGCTCTAGGAAGCTTCTAATGTTCTAATGTAAGGTATATCCTGACGTAGGAACTCCTTCCTTTCGTTCCTTTGGGTTTGTCCGAACGCGGTCACGGTTCTTCGACGAAAGCTGTATCGGGGGACTAGGTCGGGATTGAGTTTACCGTCCTGCCGCTAGACGGTGACGGACCACCTGTTCGTTCAACGGTATAGGTGTGGGAAACGGGAAACGGGTAGCTGCTAACGGGTTGTGACTTTCGTTGCGCAGGTTGAATCTTAGGACTAGGGTGTATTAGGTCGTTCAGAGAGAAATGTGTGTGTGTGTTGGGGGGGGAGAGAGAGAGAGAGAGGGAGAAGGGGGGAGAAAAAGTCCGCCGAGAAGAGACGGATGCGACGGGTTTTCGCTTGTCTCGGGGGGGATTCGATTCGGCAGGCGGCGCGGGAAATGCGTCGATGAGGGTCAGTCAGGAAGAGAAGGTTGAGAAGAAATGGACGGCCGAGAGGTGCAATGTGTTGACTGTTGATTGATTACTCGACTCCATTAATGGGGAGCTTTGTTCTGTGTCTCGTGTCGACTCTGCAACTGACCGGATCTCCTTAAGGAAATAGGGGTAGGCGGAAGGGGAAAAAAAAAGAAAAAAGAAAAGAAAAAAAAGTGAATGGAAGGGAAGAAAACGGGAAGAAAATAATACACTACTTGACAAGGATGCGCGAGGTCAGATCGCGGTCCCGGGTCTCGTGTCAGTCAAATATAACCCGTCGGGGTCCATTTCGTGGTTGTACCTCGATTATGGTTCGTGGACAGGCGAGTAGAGAGGGGCGCCAAGGCAAGAAAGGTGGGGAGGGGTTGAAGGGGGAAGGAAAGAGGGACTCGGTCAGGGTGAAGAAAAGAAAAGAAAAGAAAAAAAAAAGAAAAAGAAAAAAAAGGAGACTTGTACCTACCTATATTGCAACCCTGATGAACGCTCAAGAGTTCCCTATGTTTATTCGTTAGTTCTGTTTGAGTGGAAATGAGTGATGAGCCCATCTACACTAGGTACCAACAAATATGCACCCCCTGAAGTACTCATTGGCTCTGCGACTTGTGGGACGGACAATTTGGGACCAACCTGGCCTCGGTCAACGGGACGTCGAGACTCGTGAGAAACAATTTCATTTGCTCCGTAAATTAATAATGACCAACGTACGGATAGAAGCATACATGTCGGAGAAACCAAAAGGAGAAAACCCGAAGCGGCTTCAAAGTGGGAAAGGACAAACCCGGCCAAAGTCACATCAAGAACAAGAAAGAAGAGAGCGAGAGAGAGAGAAAGAAAAATCAGGGGTCAAACGGAGACCTCTAAATAGCTGGATTTCCATATGGCTGCTAATAATTCCTTGTGTCGTTCGTCTCGGACCATTCCACATCAAACCCACCTACTCCTCAAGAGACTGCCGCCAGTCCCCATGGGAAACAAAATGCTTCTCCAGATAATCAAACAAAACCCAACGCCCGTCGTGTAGCTCCAGCTCAGCCCCATCCCTCTCCATCTCATGTTTTGATGTCATGACGCCAGCCCTTAAGACAGGGAGTAGTAGCCCAGAACCCCAGAACCCCATACCCCACTGATGCAATGCCTATTTTCGAGAACAAGCCTCCAGAGCGCCTTGCGTGAAAACAGCCGATACTATTACAATTTCCTCACAAGACCCGACCCCCGTTTTACGGAGTCAAAGGCCTTCTGGCTTCCTGCCCGGCCGCTCGCCTGGAATGCAGCGTTGGAGACTGAGCCCCCCCACCCACGTCGTCAAGGTCGTACTGCACCCGAACCCCGGGCCATAGCGGCGGCCGGTTCGGATTCGCACCGCCCGTCGTCTCGACTGGCTGGCTGGGCCCCGGCGACCTCGCCGAAAAGCCACTTGTAGTCCAGCCTAGGTCGGGCGTCGCCACCGTCCCCGCCCCGAGCCCGTCGAAGTTTGGAAACGCTGAGGCTGCGCTTGCGCTAGCACTTCGCGCCAGCGGTTGTGAATGCTGTGGTGGCTGCGGCTGCGGCTGTATGCTGCTGCCAGCCCTCTCTTCCTCTAGCAATTGCGCCAGAGCGGCTCCTTGCCGGGGAGGAGCCGGGACGACCGTCACCGGTAGGCTGTCCGTCTCGGGAGTGGGTTGCAACTTCTCTCGTATCTTCTCGGCCTGCGTGGCAGCGAATTCTTCGAGCCTGGTCCGGAAATCCCACCGGCCTCTGGTCCCGCCGTACCTGTCCCGGGACCACGTTTGTGTCTGCCCTCGAGATGTCGTCGCATGGGCGCTCATAGCGGAAGCCGGGGTACGCGCGTTCCGGCTCGGGTTTGTATTATTTTCGGCTTCGGCTAGGGACCGGGCGCCATGTGCACTCCTCGCCGCTGGTCTCTGAGATTCCGGGTCCAGCGCAGCTGCATCCGCCCGCTGTCTCGGGATCGGCGCCGCTACTACGTCGGCATTGTCCTGGTTCGGATCTGAGTCGGACTCGCTGTCTACGGAATTGCTGTCTGCCTGGCGACCGAATCCCTCCGGTGTTCTGCCTGTCGTCTCGGATGCGGGCTGGTATCGCACGGCGTAGTCGGTGCTCGCTGCGCTTGCGGTATCTGTCCTGCTTATCGGGGTCACCACGGGTGCCGGCCGGGAGGGCCACAACGGCGGCCGGAACACGCCTCCAGTGGGCGCTCGTTCCCCACGGGACAAGGACAAGCCGGTGCTGTGCTGCTGCTGCTGTTGTTGTTGTTGCTGTTGGTGGCGTTGCTGCAGATGTCCTTGCTGCTGCTGTTGTTGTAGTTCGTGTTGGTAATTGCCTTGGTACCTCGGCGGAATCGACGTTAATCCGGGCCAGGCCAGGCGTCTTGGCGCGGTGGATGATCTTTGACTTGCATCGTCGCCGCCGTTGTCGTCGCCCCGTCCGCCCCCATGGTCCCTGGGACCACCGCTGTTTGTCCGTTTTCCGTTGATCCTGCGTCTCAACCAAGAAAATTCGGAAGGCGGCGGGTCCATCATCTCGTCTCCGTCAAAGATTTCGCGCCCAAGAATGCCATCCTTCTTTTCCTCCCTCTCCAAAGCCTCTATCCTTTCCACCCATTCCCAGACGACGACACTCGCGGCGGCCGCCCCAACCCACCGAACGTAGTCTCCCCAGCCGATGAACTCGGGCCGCGATATGTCCAAGACGAAGAATACGACAGGTACAAGGATGGAGAAGAGGGAAAGAACCGAAACGAGGACCATGTTCTTCATGAGCGGGTGGTAGAACGCGTAGCGCTTCTTCATGAGCGCGTAGTATATGACCCAAGCCGCGTAGAGCAGGCCAAGAGACAGGTGGAAAAGGTAGCTTAGAGTGGGTACGGCATGGACGAAGCTCTGGGGTCGCGCGTTTCCCTGGCTACCGCTGGTGGTGTAGTAGAAACTGTTGAGAGCGCTGAAGATTACCTGCAGCGTGATGAGGGCGAAGGCGGTCCATTTGATGATAACCTTTGCCCTCTGGCGTGGAAAGAGGCGAATTAATGTCTGGGCTTGCGCCAGCCAAAGAAACGTGTCAGAGACCAAGCGTATGGCTTTCAGTTCGGTACTGTCCAGGACTTCGACCTGCAACTTGTCGGCGTTCTGGACGCCCCAAGAGTACTGTTCCTCGGCCACCCGGAAGGTATCGGCAGTCGCTATGGTGAGAGAGATGGCCACGGTCATGGCCGCGGCTTTTTGTAGCCACGGGCGGCCACCAATGGTGATGCCGCCTGAAGAGGGTCCCGTAAAGCCGCGCCGACCCAGGTACACGATACCACCGTCGAGAAAGGAGCGTGGGGTAACGAAAAGCATAATGACGAGCATGTAGGCTGTGACAGTGGTCGCGGCGAGGGCGTAGCAGACGGGGAATGTCGACGCGTAAAAGGGGTCACGAAAGTCGGAGTATTGAGGGCCGCCCGAGGCATCGGCTTCGATCTGGTTGCTCTGAGAAATGTGAACCGGAATCGGCGTCGCGGTCGGTGTTTGGCCTGGGGCGCATGGCGTCTCAAGCACGGCGGCGTGCGTCAACGTGGTCAGGGGGAGACCTGGCCCGAAGGACAGCACGCCGCCAACAGATATTGTGGTTTCGCATAAAGCTGAAGTGATGGTCGGTAGAGACGTCGTTACGGATAGTGAGGGCACGGTCATTGTGGCGGCCGTCTCGTTGAATGCTTGTCGACGAGGAACGGAGCGGCCTGCCGCTGGACGACAGTGGAGAAGAAAGAGCGTGAGAGACTACGAGCGGTCCTACTCAATCGCCATTGAACGGGCGTCGCATTTGCGACCGAAGGCGTCCAAGTGGAAGTACGGATACTGATCGTTTGGCGGTCGTTCGGTCGTTCGGTCGTTCGATCGTTCAGTCGTTCAGTCGTGGTCGAGTTGAGTCGAGTCGAGTCGAGTCGAGTCGAATCGAATCGAGCCTACCTTCGGGAGGTAAATGACATCGGTCGGATCGAGTCTGAAGAAGGTCACAAATTGACAAAGAGCCGGGAGACTGCAGACGAAGTCGGAGATGATTCGACGGGGGGAAGACACGCGATTTCGTCCGCGAAACTCGGAGACCTAAAGGCTGCAAGTCAAGACGTCGTGTGGGTTCGTCCGTGCAAATATTGCCAAGCGATTCTTTTCGTGGATGGAGACAGGACGTTAGGAAGATGCATCAAAGAAAAACGAGGGAGACGATTGACCAGGGCGGTAGAAGAAGTCAAGACTCGTCAAACAAGGTCAGAGATCGTGGGGATAGAAACGATTGATGGCTGGGCGCCGAGTCTTTTTTCGGAAAGGGGGGGGGGGGCGCGACGGGGAGAGCGGGTATTATTGGGAGTTCGGTTCAGGGAAAAGTGAAGACCTGAATCGGAGAAGTACCTTACGGAGTACATTACTTTCAGGTACCTACCTTACCTTACCTTATCCGAACCCTCGTCTTGTCGAGGACGCAACTGACACTGTCGTCGCTAAAAGGTACCTGTAATTAGGGGTGAAGTATTTGGCACTCGTAATTTTCCTTGTCTTTGTTCTGCCCCTCCCCCTTTTTTCCCCCTTTCTATCCCGTTCCCATGGAAAAACGAAGCATGATACGGAGTGCGGACTCTATACTCTCTGCGCCGCGCTCTTTTCACGAATGCTCTGGAACCCCAAGTCTCCAAAGTCTTACGAGACTTTGGCGGTATGATACCGTTGGGGTCCCAGAACTTCGAGCGGCGATATCCGTCACTTCTCCAGATTCCTGTTTTTTTCAAGCCCTTGGAGCGAACCCCTGTGCACTAGCGCACTGAAATGGGGAAAGGATAATTAAGCCGTTGGTCCTCGGGGCGATGGCGTCCTCAACCGGTTCTTTACGTGTACACTAGTTTCCAGGTTTGCATTAAGCGACAGGACCTGCCTCTCACTGTTGGGAGGTCACCCGTCGCTCCCAGTTGTTGCGGTCCTATCTGGCGTATTTATTAGATTATTAGAGTGCGAATCGGCGTTTTGTCTACCGTTTTCTATCCCAACCGCTTGCCCAGATAGGGAGGAGATGGTCAACGGCGCAGCCACAAGTCCCCTGAGAAGTCAACTAAGGCACAGTGCGCAGGTGTACAGTAACCTACCTTGACCTAGATGCGTGGGTCAAAAAGTACCTAAGGTACCTATGAAGGTACGTACATACGAAGTACATTACCTCCTGAATCAAATGCAGTTATCTCGGTCTAGGTAAGGTACCTTTTTTCAGGTAGGTAGCCACGGTCTTGAATATCAGTTTACCTGTAAGCACGTGATTATTACCTTTTAGGTAGGTAGGTAATTATGCCTACTCCGTTTCCGTACTTTGCTTTTCATTTAAATGAAGATATGTTCTTACTGGTCTTAATAGCATCTGACACAACACATTATGCACTCCTGACTACTCAGCCCGTCTCCTTTGGCTTTCCGACTTTTCATTCGCCTTGCATCTTGCATTTTCTCATTTTCTCGTAGTGAGATCAATGCTCTCTCTTGCAGTTGACACATAAGGGACAACAGAAGAACTGAGGGCCCACGCCGGACTCTTTATGGTATATCTTGGCATCAAATTCGTATCATTATCAGAGGTTCAACATAACACGTGCGAGGAAGCTTCGTGGTTCGTGGGGTTCGTTGTGAGAATTCCTTGGCAAAGCTTGTCCGGCCAGTACCGCACAGGCCGTCTTGGCCATCTCACCCCCGAATTTGGTAATCAATCTCTCCTTGTTCTCCGTCCCCGACTCCCTCTCCCTCTCCCTCTCGTTCCAAGGAGTCAAAAGTGACAAACGCAACACTGAAAAGGCACCGTTACACGCGTCAGGTCCGTCATGAAATGGTAGGGAATAGACGGACGATTCTTCCACTCTATAACTTACCCGGGCATTATGCCAACATTTTCGGAAATCCCGCCAGCTACCCCTGCCTTCAAGGGTATCGCATGATTCCAACGCCGGGAATCATGACCCAAAGCACCTGTATAGGTTATGCAATCCCTATCCCCACACTCACACTACTCGTCCCTCTCGAACGAATCGTTGAGATAGCCTACAAACGCCTCTCTCATCCTCGAAACGCTGAAATCCCCTACACCCTCTAGCCCAATGCCTCCCCGATTCAACCCGACAAAGGCTCTCCTGAGACGCTGTAGTTGTGGCAGCCCGACCTTCTTCCCAGGCAGCTCGACTGTCAATTCTGCCTTGCCATCACCGCCTGCCGAGATCTTGACCGACCCCCCTACTTCTCCACCTCCCTCCTCCTGTTGTCCCAGTATTCGCCGTACCACTTCCTGCGTCTCTCTGTCCAGCACGTACAGGTAATCACCAGAAGTCTCCCGGTTCCGCTGGGCCGTTGCTTGGTTAGGCTTGACCTTCTTGCGTCCTTGGCCCGCAATGGCGTCCCAGATTCCGTCAAATGTTCGGCGTGTCTGTTCCGCGTCGTCCTCCCACACGAGCGTGAACAGAGGACTGTCCCAACGCGTCATCGGATTCGGCTCCTCGTAGCGGAACACGAGGTTGTCCCAGTTATCTGGCTCATAAGGTTCCTCATCATCACCTTCAAGCCCGTCGTGTTCTCGTTCTTGTTCTTCTTGTTCCTGGCCACCGTCGCCGTCGCCCCCAGAAGTCGGAGCCTCTCCTCCTGTATCCGCCCCCTGGCCTCGCTCCTCTGTCGTCTCCGTTGTCCTCTTCCTCTTGCTCTCCCTCCTTCGCAACCGCGCCTCGTTCACCGCTCTCGCCCGCTCAGTCGTACACCCCACCTGTACAACGACGCTTGGGGTGCTCGCCGCCTTGGCTTCGCAGTGTAGCTGATACCTCCACCCCTTGATGTAATTCAGCCCGTCGAGGATCACGATGTCCCGGTCGGAGAGAACACGCTTGACAGCGCCGTAGATGCTGGCCCGGGCGTCCTTCTCCGGTGCATTGGCCGAGCGTGCGTGCGGCGGCAGCGCCGAGAGGTCATACACGGTGCGTGGGATGGAGAGGGTTGTGTCGGAGATGAGGTGGAGGCGGTAGGGAGGTTTCTTGGGTTTGGCGCCAGTATTCCCGGTGTCGGTGTCGGTGTCGATGCTGTTCTTTTGCGCAGACTCGGATTCGGCGGCGATGCGGTCGGCGAGGTAGGCGCGGAGTTGGGCGGCGCGGGTAGATTTTCCCGACGTGGGAAGACCCGAGAAGATGATCAGCTAGGTTGGGAGCTTGTCAGGATGAGCACCATCTCACAATCATCGGGCAAAGCCTGACTCGGGGCTGCACCGGGGAGGGCGGCCATCTGACTTACGGGCATGATGACTGCCGGCGCGGCGAGGGGCACGAAAGAACAATGCCGTAGGGCAATGTAGACTGCTCTCTGGGTACGTACCGACTGGGATACTGTGAAGGTCTCGGTGTTGAAGGTGCAAAAAAAGTCCAAGGTCAACCACGGCGTTCAATGCGGGGTCCAATTCGTTGACACCCCACCCCACTTACCTAAAATGTACCTAATACTGCCTTAAAAGGTCTCACGTCCCACGTTACACCGAGATCTCTTATACGGATCCTCAGTTCTTCGCATATGACCAGCTCCCATGCCCGAAGGTGTTTTGTTCTGCGAGAAAACTCCATGCAGGTCAAATGCATACTCGCCATGCCATGTGATGGAGACCGTGAGAGCTTGGTTGACGTGACCCCCGCGGCCTCGGAACAGAGATGCTAAGCTGGTCCGTAACACCGGGGTGAAATCAAAGAATGTAATTATGGTCTTCCGCTTTCTTCATCCGTACTTCTTAGGGTGTTAAATTTACCCACATATGCCTACACGAGTGGCTCACTTTCTATAATCAACGGAAATATGTTCGACGTAATTATGTTCAAGAGAGTCCAGATATCTAATGCCGTCCCTTGGAATCTATAAGTTCCCCCAATAGCGCCGCGATCGAGAGACTAACTTACGTCTCGAGAGAACTCCCCGCAGTATCTGTCATGCAGTCGATATAGAGCAGTATCCGCTGGCCCGCGAGTTCTATCGTCTCCCTCAAAAAGGTATCGTTCCCGCCTAGTGCGGCCTTCTTACTCGGCCGCCCCCGCCTCCTCGTCGATTCCGGTCTACCCAGCGATTTCTTCACAACCGCCCCGCGCGCTTCTATGCCTCGGACAGCCGCCTCTCTCAAATCCGGCATGCACGCCCCCAAGTCCGCCGGTGGAACCGACGCGAGCGCAGCCTCGAGAAGCAGCGCCACGCGGGCGTTGTCCTCCAGGTTGTCCGTCGCGGCCGGCCAGGGCAAGAAAAAGCAAGTCAGGGACCGCGCCGAACGGACCATTCGGTCTCCAACCGAGTCGCCAGCCTTGTAGGGGTGCTTAGAAGCCGATGGGAGCAGGCCGTCCAGCAGTAGCACGAGGACGTCGGCAACGATGGAGGCAAACTCCGGGGGCTCGCTCTCGGCGGCCCAGTCCCGCATTCTGGTGATGTAGTGCTGGAAGACCTGCACCGGCTGCTCGCGCAGCTGTTTGGCAAACTCGGCGTGTAGGTCGCTGAGGTCCGAAAGCTCCGAGGGTAAGGCGTCGGCGACAATGGAGAGTAGGACAAAGAGGCGGAGGCGGAGGGGCATGGAATCGACGGTGCCGCGGAACATGTCGTCACTGACACCATGTCGTGGCGTTCGTGGGGTTTTCTGGGGAGATCCCTCTACGTCTTCGTCAGAGTCGGTGAAATCCACGTAGCCCCCGTATTCGCCGTTGTCCACGTCGACGTGTGTGGGGAACAACTCGTCGCTCGGACGCTGCCCGTCTCCCTTGAGCAGACGGTGTTCGTTGTGGAAGACCTCGTGGAAGAACCGCCGGGACAACTCCTTGCCGTCGGCGAAAATGGCTTTGAGTACCCGCGTTAGACGCGTTCGGCCAGCGCGGTCCTGTTTGACGTACATCATGAGCAGGGACTCACGGCGAAGTTCCAGGCACTTCTGCCCCGTCTTGGATTCGGATTCCTCGTCCATGTGCTGTCGCCAGTTCCAGTCGGCCTCGAGGGCATCCAGCATGTATTCCAGCCACAATTTCCAATACCTCCAACGATGCGGGTAGAGGATGCTACAGTTGAACCCCCAGCCGAAAACGTGCCATAGATCCTCGGCTTGATGGAAAAGGCTCTCCTCATTGTCGTACTTGTTATAGATACGCTCGTTGTCGATTCCATCGTGTCCATCCTCGCCTGAGACAGCACGCCGTTGGCGGTGGGATCGATAGACGCCGCGGAATCGGAAGGCCGTCTTAAGGTCTGCATTTATGGGTCCCGCAAGGGATAGCAGGTTCCGTAGGTATGTCCACGAGTCGGCTACGACCGCCAAGTCATCGCGCTCCTTAAGCCGCGTGGTGCGATGCGGATGGACGGTTATGGTTGAAAGGAGAGCCAGTTGGGCCGGCGGAGCAGCATGGACGGGGGGTTTTAAGCCATCCTCACGTGCTTGACTTGAGAGAAGCGTTTGGTTGAGCATAAAGATGGCCTTGGAGTCTTTTTTTTTTTTTTTTCGTTTAGCACCATTCATTTATTGAGGAGGCATGTCACGCTGCTGCATATAAGACGCCGGACTCACACAATTGCTCCTCGATGAGAATCTGACATTGGGATTCAAGCTCACGGCGGAGCGGTATAGCCTCGCAATAGCTTGGAACAGGTTCGTCCTCTTCATCAGAAGCGACTTTCGGCTGATCGCTCTTGTGCGGCGTTTGAATCGCCGTGGCAAAGGACGCGTTGGAGGAGTCACTTCGACTGGGCGAGAGTGAGGAGGATACCGGCATATGCTCCTCCATGGCATGAAACGGTCAGCGAGTCGCTTGCATCAGGTCGCTGTCCCAAAGTGTCGATTTGACATCTCTCTACTGTTAAGCTCAATCTCGGCAAGAGAAGGGAACGAGTCGATAGACGACGGAAGAGAGGGCCGCGGGCGGCCGAGAAATAGTTTTTGAATACCTTGTCGCCAATGAATAGACTGCAAGGTTATGAGTTTAGGGACCCGAAAACGGGGGCGGTTTGAAATCGCGACGTATTAAGAGCAATGACATCCGCAGTCGGGTCGCTCTTATGTGTAGAGGTGAGACTTCTTGTCTATGAAGTGCTTTTGGTGAGACAAGTTAGGAAAGTTCGGAAACCTTATTACCTAAGAGCTGCATACGATGGGATAATGGTGGCTTTCTGACCGAAAACACCGAACACACCGAACACACCGAGTATTGGCCAATGGTCATGCGACCCGCTTAGCCTTGCACTGTCCTCGCCATGTTACTGTCGTTGAAGGAACTGCGCCACTTCCGCCCCACGACTCGAGGTATGATAGGTATCATTCAATGTCTGTTCACGCACGCATCGACGGTACCGGGCGGCAGAAGCCCCACTTAACCCGTCAATAGCTTGACGCATTGGGGGCCTCTTTATATATCCAGTTGTTATTGACATCCTGTCCGCCTTCGACACTACTCAGCCACGGGCAAGCTCTCGCTGAACGGGACCTATGGTGTTCCGTCTTCCGCATCTATGTCAGGGCAATACGCAGGCCATAATAAGGTAAAGGAAGCGAACGAAGAATTGTCAACGTTGGCTTGCCGCAGGAGAGGCGACGAGTCTAATCCCGCCATGTCTGTCCCGAACATCTAAATTATGAGTTACCCGACCCAGTTCCTGTTCCCAGACGCGCCGCTATCCCTTCACTCACTAAGACTCGTCGACGGCAATGTTCTCATTGGCTCATACCCATACCCGCTTGCAATACCCATAATGTCAAAGAAAAGAAATAGACCTCCGGACCAATTCCGTTTCCTTGGTATGTGACTGCGAAGTCATAACGCCTCTAACACCGTTCCTTGTTTTATCGAGTTGTTGATACAGTCTTCAACACCAGTTCGCGTTGTGTGTCTCCGGCGACTCATTCTAGAGTCTGGCTTGAAGGTGTTTATCCACCGTATGCTATTGTTGTTAGTTAGCCAGCCCGGTCGCGCAAAAAAAGGGGGCACAACTGTTACTTACTTGGGTCAATGGGCTGGCCACCTGAGCCTCCGTTATTGCCGGGGTCGCTGTTGCCCAGCTCGACTACGGCGGAGTTGAGGAACTTCATGGCGTGCGATGGCGCTTGTAGATGGAACTGGGTTTCTTTGCGCATGTCCGCGATGGGCACTGCGACGGCGATGCTCTTGGAAGAGAGGACTGAAGAGCGTGAGGATGCGAGGAGCCTAGACCGAGGTATGCAAGGAACTAAGGAAGACGACTTGCACTTGGAGTATGTTGCAGAGTCAATAGCAAATATGTGGAAAAGCTTGATAGCAAGCGGTGGAGGGGATGGTAGTGTATATGCGTGAAGAAAGTTGTTAGGGGATGAAGTCCAAGATCCAAATCTTTGGTGTCTTTTCAGAACATATATATATATACATGGAAGGCTCGAAGGCAGCAGCCAGCCATGACCGAAGAGCTACTCTGTCTGCCGGACGGGGTGCCTACCCTCAGGCGACCTGGGCTATGACGAGATTCTGCCATGTCCAAACAAGGGTTCTGGGGTAGCCTTGACTGAGCCCGAGTCCTACTGGCCAGAACTTCAATGGACTACCTCAATTTAGATATCCAAGAAGCATGGTAGCCTATTCCAATTCCACTTTCGGTGACTGGTAACCTTGTACAATCGGCCGAGTGACAGGCTCATGCTTTCTCCGATTGGCCTTGAGCTCAATGGCTACGACCGATGCGTTTAGTCCTGAAAAAGCGGACGACTTGATGTTTTGCAGACGAAAATGGCAGGGGTCTCAGGCAGAGGATCCGTGACTCAATTGGGGCCATAGGTGTAGGTATGTTATGCCACAGGCAGATGCCAAGGGGTAGGTAGGGGTATTTGCACCCATCAGCCTCAATCGGAACTCCTTGGTACGCCTGACAGGAGAAGCAAGGTGGTACTAGAAGGGAAAGAAAGAAGGACCCTCAAGAAGGCTGGAGGCAGGACAACCAGAAAGGGGCAGGGAGGAGGCTTGGCTGCCTAGGGTCAATTGGTCCAATGTCTTCAATGTCAGATAAACACGCCCTTCAAATTCGAAGACGCCAAATTGTCAATTCAAATCCAGAATTGTACGGAGTACACAGCGGACACTGTTCCATTCTCTCATGCGGTTCTCGGTAGGGCTGTGGCTTGGGACGGTAGCCTACCCGGCCCCAGACAAATACGCGACACACTCGAAGGGTCGGTCCCATGACATGGGAATTGGGGAATGAAGACAGTCAGGGCCGCCAATCAGGATGTCCGCTTTTCTCGAACTTTAACCGAACAAAGGGTCTCCCATTGGGAGAGGGGGGTGGAAAGCCAAGTCGCACAAATCGACCATACCGCGAATTTCGGGCCACACAACACCTACATTACCGGGACTGTCTGGTCACTTGAGCCTCAAAAGCTCGGCCGCATTGCCGAGGTGTGGTGGTGGGGGATCGACCGCTCCCGATGAGTCAACAACAAGACTTAAATATAGGTAACTGTGTGTATGATACAACAGCGGCCGGATGGAGCAGCGATGTCGGGAATCCGTCAGGTGTCTCGGCATGACACGATGTGATCGTCCAAAGACGATGACAGGAGCCCGAGACGTTAAACAAATGAGAAGCCCGGAAATTCATTCTGGCACGTAAATATGACCGATAGCAAAGTTGGTGAATCGAAATCGGTTGATTAATCGTGCGAAAAAAGTGTGAGGAGAGAAGAGGGAAACAAAGAGGAATCCAGAGGGGAAATGACTTGAGAAGGTTCGACACTTGGTGCCTGGCTGACATAATTGGAGTAGGCTAACTGATAATGGATTAGCCGCTATTATCATCTGCAAGCGCCCAGCCACTTCATTTTCCATTCGCGCTAAGACTGTGAAATTCAGATGACTGCGGAGCGAAGAAAAACATTACTCAGGCTACAGAATTTGGCCTCAAATATCTCACCAGCTATACGTTGTATGAGAATAAATCACTAGAGTGCATAGTCCCTATCACTGAGGCGCTGTTCAACTTATTGAGCCATAGTAGCCCGTAGCTGTTGAAGTCATTGCGGTTCTCGTTAAGAGGTATCAATGAGTGCATGGTACGCGTACGAACCATGGTTATGGCAGTTATACCTGGCTATTCGACTTGTACTCCGAACAACGAAGTACAAATTGTGCGGGATACCGAAGGTAAGGTAGGTACCTAAGGAGCTTGGCGTTTCTGGCATCGCCCCACCTCGTCCCATTATGTAATCTCCGCACGAACTACCTAATATTTCTCTCGAGGCTCAAAGTTTTATTTTCCCGTTTCCTCCCTCTTCCAACTCCTTCATATTTTCTTCACCAAATACCACATTGACGAAGCAGTGCCTCCGCGGTTTCTTGTGAGGCCCGGTGTCGTCTTTCGAATTGAGGCCAACATCATGGTTTCTGAGCTACCTGCGTCATGCTTGACAAGGCAGTATTCTGCAACGCCCGGGTTCCTCTGGCGCTTTTGTCTCGTGACCCTCAATTCTGTTACCGAAACGCCTCCCTTCACGTCTTCCGTCCGTTGACACCGGAAAAGGGGGTTTCAAATCAAGGACGTCGATTCGTCATCTGCAGGTTTAACTCCTAGGTCACCGACGCGGATATCATGCTTTCTTCGCCTCGCTGAACTGATCCCAAACCAATTCCTCTACGTGAGGAAGCACATGTGCGTGATGTCCCGGCCTGTTCTCCTTTGGAGATCTGTCGGGCCACGAACAATGTGTCGTAGGAAGAGAAGAAAAAACCCCACGAATTGCCTACACCCCGCGCTCTCAGTACGCAGGAGTGTCAACTTTTTTTTATTCGTTCGTAAGTGGGAGAATGATTCAAGGTCTAGACAACCAGTCCGCTCCACCCTGCTGCCATTGATTCTAGTGTGGTATCAGGACTAAAATCGGACAAACATATTGTCTCGTTGTCCAGTCTCAGCCCGTCTTTTCCGTGCGTGTATGCGATGCCTGCATCGTTTCGTTTGATGAATTGCCCATTCCCATCCCTGCCTTGTTCATGTCTTTCTCTTCCACATAGCTATCCAGATGTTGCGCCGTATGTCTGGACTCAACGTTCTCCCAAATGCACCTCAAAAAAGCTCTGGACCACACATTACTGAACTGGAATCGCTGCCCACGGCCGTTACTGTCTTGTCCGAGCTCATCGGTCAGTCATAAAGAGTAGATACCAAAACCAAGGATACTTCCGTCCTTGCCTCTATAGTCAGCCCGCCGGCCTCTAATAATCAATGTAGCCCGATATATTTCCGCCCCATATGCCGCATGTGATATAATCGCCCCAAGTTGCCCACGAAGGATTATTTAAGGAACGTCGTGAAATATGTAATTCGGGTCGATGAACGAGAGGAGAAACCTAGCAATCAACCGACCCGTATAATCCTGAGAGACGTCCCGAGGGTATGGGTGATCTTCTGGCGCCGTCAGAATCGGGTTGATCAGGCTTCGTAGCTCGGTCCCTGTCGGCGGCGACAAATTGGTCAGTCCTAGCCGCATACGAGTTGGTTTCACGGGTCGACGTCACTCACTGTCCTTGAGAAGCTGCTGGAGACCGCACACCATCTCATACGCGGCGTCGTTGTCTTGCTTCAGTTCTTGGGCCAGAGCGTCGTCCACCAGCGGATTATACGCCTTGGACGATCCGTCCCTGGCCGCGGCTTCCCTGGCATGAGTCTGGTAGACCTGGTGGAACTGGAAGGCGAATTGTTTAAAGGGGAGGTTCTCCACCTCGCGGTTTATGCTCAGAGCCAGGTCGCGCTTGAATTCGGGGGCGCAGTGCTGCTGTATGCTACGCTCGTTGCGGGCGACGACGAACGTATCTACTGTGGTCTCGACGGTCTCCATGAAGAGACACAGCACTAGGAACGCGGCTAAGCAAGGCGCCCACTCGTGCCTCGACTTGGATTTCAGGGACTTGGTGAAGTCGTAGAACAAGTCCTGGACGCTTTGGATGAGGAATTCGTCGATGAGTGCCTTGATCTGCCTGTTCAACACCCGCGATGTCATGAAGTTGTCGCTGCCGTGCAAGAAGTTTGTCTGCTGGAGTATGGATATGGTTCGTGGGGTCAAACAAAGGTGCCGCGTCATGATGTAGTGCGCCGAGTAGACGGAGAGGGCTTTCGTCACAATGGGTTCCTATCGTCCTGTTAAAGGTCCCTCTCTACGGATACAAGCTGATAGACCGTCACAAGGGGCAATGATGCACTCACTCCTGTCCTGTTGGCATAGGCCTGAGCGATCGCCAGTATCTGCCGAGGCAGCCCGGTTTTGCACGTCTCGGTCACTTGATCTGCGCAAACGGGGTCTAGGGCAAGGTCACGGATGTAGTCCTTCGCCCTCTCCTTCATCATGTCTTTCGCTGTTTTCGTATCTGCGTCGAGGGCCAGTGGAGCTGTCCAGCAAACCTGCAGGTCCATCCGGTCCTGACCAGGAAGCATGTGCAAGTGCTGCTGAACCTCCCTCGTCTTGGGAGAAAACAACTTGGCGGGGACCTTGAGCACGGCTGCAAACCGAACACCGGAGAATAGCTCAACCTCGACAGGTTGACGGTACTGGCCAGGAACGGCTGCCAGCGGCGCGACGTTCTCGCTTATCCATGAGGCCATCTGGTCCTTCTTGAAGTGGGTTCGGATGAAATCCGGAAACAAGACGGTGTTGAAATCCTCGAACTGCCAGCAGATGACTTGGGGCACCGCCAGGGCGAGCTTCTTGCAGGTCTTGCAGGGGCGCTCCTCGCCGCATTTCACCTTGCGAATGCGGCAGCAGAAGCATGCGCCGCGCTGTCGGACCTTGCGTGCGGTTTCCTTGGAGGTTTCGGTGAGTGGTCCCTTGCGACCACGTTGTGTCATCCGGCCGGCCTCGAGGCATTCCCATCGATTCGGTTTACCGTTGGCGGCGCTCATGGCGCTGGGGGTCACGATGACGAATTGGCTCTCCTCCAGACCCGCAGGCTGCTTTCTCTTATTCTTCTCGATCCTGCCGCTTTTCACTCCATGGACTTTGGTGGGAGACACCTGTCTCTTCCTTTCGCACTGGTCCGTGGGAGACCCGGGGCTACTGCGACGGACGGAACTCGAGCACGACGAGCTAGAGATATATGGCGATGTCGAGCAGGGCGTGTCTTGTGTCGGGCCCGGGCTCTGGTCACCGGGATGGAAGTCGCTGAAGGGCCATGGGTTGGTGCCACTACCTGCTTGGGGAGTTGGAGCGTCGTTAAATTGGTGTTGGAGCGGTTGGTGTGGACTCTGTTGGAGCTCGGGCTGTTGCAGTCTCTCTAATTCATGTTGCCCCTGGTGAAATGGAAACGCCTGAGGCGCGTTAAGATGAACGTTGTGAGAAAAGGAACTCATAAGCGAACTCCCATCTCTGGTGGGCGAATGTTCAGTTCCAATGGGACAGGAGGGATAGGTCGTAGGTATGTTGTAGAAGCTCTCGGGAGAAAGAAAGTGATTGCTATCATTAAGAGAAGCTGTCGTAGCAGGAACGGCGGAAGTGTTGTGGGATTGCTCCGGGAACGTCGTGTGGTCATGTAGTCCCTCGATACCGAGGGGAAAGCCCAGATCGAAACCAGGATCATGATACAGTAATGGCATGGTTGGAGGAGACGGGGACGGATCACCGGGCGAGTGCTGAGGGTGAGAGATGATGCAATAACTAGCGAGGCTACCACTCGCGGGGCTGGGAACGAGGCAAATGGAATTCGAATTGGACCTTCCACTGGATAGCTGCTCGGTGTCGTTGAAGTCCTCGTATTCATCATTGGGGAACCCATACGGCGAAGCCGAGAAGGGGGAGCGGTGCTGAGGGGAGACCGACGCCATGGTGAGGGTTGTCGAAGTCGTCGGCCCTAGACGGCCGGGAGGGACCCGAAGGGCAAGATGAGATCTTACGAAACCAGTATCGCAGGAGACGACCAGTGGACCTTCCAGATGATAACGTCACGGATTCTTCGAATTGGGTTGGGTTCAAAGGCGTGTTCTGGTTCTGGTTCTGGTTCTTCGCTCATAGATGGATGGTCCGGGCTCGACTCGAATATTTGCGTCTGCGGTGGTCTTGACAAGCGACAAAGCCTGGTTTCTCGACCTCCCCGCCAGATTCTTCTGCAGTGTCTCTGATGTCTTGGACCCTACCTTCTGGTGATGTCCAAAGATCCGGAGTGTTGGCAGTGTTCTTTTCTTTTCAAGGGTAGGGTAGGTCAGACAGTTCAGTTGCGTGGGAGAGTAAAGTACCAAGATGCTGAGAAAAGCGATACAGGGGGCGTGGCGGGTGGGGTGAAAAGGGACGGAGAAAGATCTAATTAACGCAACGGGGAAAGGGGAAGGGAAGGGAAGGGAAGCAAGAAGGACGAAACCTCGTCATCTCCGTTCTAAGAAGAATAAGGTAATTAACGCGTCGGGTCGCCAAACCCCGTCATCTTTCTGCTTCGTATTACTCTCTTCTTCGTACCTAGGTAGGGGACGTACGACACTGGTGACCCCCTATTCATAGCTCAATAACAGAGGGAAGTACCACATGACCCAGTGTCCTCCTAAAGCGTATGAGATGCGGGAGGAAAGCGACATTCTCTTGTTACTGCACTTCGTAGTCCTTGGGGGATTGGGGGCCGCCAGGGGATCGCGAAGAAGGGTCAACTTGCATCCGCTAAGCCATTTTGAGCCACCGAGCTTCGGTTATCGAAGTACCTTAGGCACGGGGACTAGGTACCTACTCTAAGGTAGAACCGTTTTGCCAACGCTTTCTCACACTTGGCTCCCGCTCCCGCTACTGTAACTAATTTCTCGGACTTCAACCCGAAGAATAAAGAAATAAACCAACGCCATGAAGTCGGCGCGTTCGTGTCTACCTGTCTACTATCCGTGTCTTATATGCCTATGAAGTTACGAAGTTACGAAGTAGGCCGCCTTGACGGGGCTTCGAACTCCCAAAAGTAAAGAGCAAAAAGACACTTCTATATGAAGAACTCGTATACGAAAACCTATGTATGCAACCATCCAGATTCGCGAGAGAGCTAACAGTCAGTGTCTTCGTAAACAATCAGCCGGCCGTCCGTCCCAATAAGCTAGTTACACCCGCCATCGTGGCATCGTTTCTAGATCCCAACCTAAAAGTGACGCACAACACACACACACACATATACATATATATATATATATATATGTCCAGTACATTCTTCTGCATCCCCCCGGCTACTACCGTTTGCGCTGCGAGAGGCTGAAAGAAAAGTGGTCGGCCACTACTCCACGATAATGAGATCGTGCAGCAATCTGTAAGCAGCCAACAACACTTCATACAGAGACATCGTCCATCATCATCCCCAGTCCTGCCTTTGCCGTTCCAGCGCGGCGTAAAACAGTGGTTCACAATACCACTATTCCACCCCCTTCCGCCCGTTCACTCCCAAGAAGAGCACATTCATCCATCCTTGTGAGAAATCACATATCGTTCGGCTTGAGAAGGAGAAACAATAAAAATAAATCGACCATACATGATCTGCACAAAACAGGCTACCAGAGAGCAATGTACGAATAGCAGTGGGAAACGTGGTCCAATCGGGGTATGTGAAAACAATCCAAAGCGGCTAGAGGGGTTCAAAGGAGGTAAAAAAAGAAGAAGAAAAATCGGGGGCAGAGAGAGAGAGAGAGAGAGCGGGCGGGGGAAGGAGGAGGAAGAAGAGGAGTAAACTTGATTGATGGAGTAATGAGAGGAGCAGCGAGTCGGGTGACGTTGATAACGTCGGCTCTCGTCGGTCTTACTGCCGGAACCGCGATGCTTTGACGCGTTCCTGGATCTGCTGCTCCGTCTGAACGTATAATTGATCGAGATACTTCATGGCGCTTGCATCCTTCAGAATTTTAGCCACCTGGATGCCGGCCGAGATGAGCTGCAGAATGTTGCGATCGTCCTTCAGCGGCCGGCTCTGCTGTTTGGAGGCGTGCCGCATCTCGAGCGAGTTCTCTAGGACGGTGACAAACTGCTTGATCTGGCCGTTGTAGAGCACCCGGGCCGGGATACGGCGCTTGGTAGCCAGTCGCTTGAGCAGGTACACCCACTCGGTCCACTCGCGGTCTTGCGGCCGCTCGACAGGACGCATGTCCTGAGTCAGCGGAATGGGGAACTGGTACTTGGCGACAAAATCGTATGCACACTGAGATAGGCGATCGTTCACTTGCGTGAGAACGGCGTCTTGTTCCTGAACGAGGAGGTGGGTGGGAAGGTGAGGGAGCTCTCGCTCCTGAAGGGCAATGTAGTCTGGCGGAGGAGGTGCAAGAAGCTGATGAGGGCCGTCGAACTCGTCCCGGTTGGACGGTCGACGTTGCGGCCTGCCCTTTCCATTCACCTTGTTCTTCCCGGGCGGAGTCGTACTGGGCCTATGCTCCGGGGAATAGTCCGAGAGGTTTGGCGACGTGTTGATATCGTCGACCGAATCCGATGGGGAGAACCTCTCGCGGTGATCCCACGGTTGAGAGTGTGGAGTTGTGTATGAAGTATACCGGGGACCGCTGCCACTGCCGCTGCCACTGCCACTGCCATTCGTGATATTTGGGCCAGATGACTGCCGCGAGGTATAAGAGGGGACAGTGCTCTGGGTCTTGCCTAAGGGCAAGTTGTAGCTGCTGGCTGCGGGAGAGTAGATAGGGATGCTTGAGACCTCCCGTTAATACTTGGATCGTCTTGCAAAGAAAACAGGGTCTTGTCATCTCGCAATACTCACCTCGACGGTTGGTAGAACCCCGAATCATAACCAGACACCGGCGAGAAGGCATCTGTATACATGGTGCTTTCCGATGGTTAGCCAGTCTCCTTCGGTAAGCCCTCTGCAAAGATATGACCAGGCCCGTACCTCCGAGGTGCGTCCCACGTTCCGTTTGACATGGCGGGAGTCGGAGTCCTGTGAGCAATATCCAACTGAGCCATCTCTCCTGGCTGAGCAAGGGATGTCACAACAAGGGATGGGCAATCCGCCTCCGGGTATATCGGGTTCCTTTGGAAGGGAGTAGCACAAAGTGAACACAACCTTGGACAGATAGATGGTTGCCACAGGATGGGTCAGCCAAAAATTCCCAGTGTCCTGGAGGCACGATCCTTGGGCTTGAATAGTAAGCACACCAGCGAGTCCAGATTGGTGCTTCACCGGAAAGGAAAAGTCCGCGGTAACAAACGCCTCGATCTGGAGGCGGTACACCAAGAAGAAGCACCGACTTCCTGAAATAGGGGAATAAATATCGAAACTGGGAAATATGCTGTCCCGAGTGTTGCAGGTCCGGTGTTCACAACGGCCGACTAGGCTGGTTTCAAGTGACAGGTCCAGTAGGTGGCTGCAAGAAAACCACTAGACCATCAAGACCGCAATTGCTCTCCTTGACGTCTCGCTGATAGGATGTAAGGATACCAGGCAGGCAGTATCGGGGCTTGAGCAAGATGTTGCGAGACGAGCACGTTCGTGGGCGGGGACCAGAAGGACCGGATTAGAGGCATTTATGCTGATAGAGAATATCTTCGTCAAGGCCCGGGCCAACTCCTGGGACGTCAAGACGGCTGATACTGGTCGAGACTGTACAAGGTAGGAAACGCTCTCGGTTTTACCCAGTTCAAAGAAAGGCGGCGAGAGGAAGAAAGAACCTGGAAGTTATGAGGCGGGGGATTATACAGAAATCCGATGGCCCCAACAGTTAGCAGGATGGACTGATGGAGCGCCTGTGGTCTCAACCGGAAGCCGCGTGTAGTTTAGGAAAGAATGGCAGGCGGTCCGGGAAACGATTGGATTTGGTGGCTCCGTCAGTGGTTTCCTTTCCGCTTCGGGATAAAGAGAGAAGTATGAATCGTTGAATCGAAGATGAGTGGTCGGTTGTCGGTTGTCCGATAGTCCCGGTTCCGTGAGGCGAAGACAAAAGTTGCGACAACTAATCAACCACCAGGGTGCACCCCAGATGCGTGGTAGGTATCTTAAGGACGAAAGACTGCCAGGTAGAACAGGGGCGAGTGAACTCAACGAGTGGACGAGAAAAGTCGGAGAAGACGACTAGTATAGGGCATCCATCGGGCCGTGACGGAATTTTTTTTTTCTCTCTTTTTTTCTTCTTCTTTTTTTTTTGGTTGAGATGAAATGGGAGACCGAGATATCGAATACCTACATACGTCCGTCCTGTTGCCCAAGGTAAGGTACCGGAAGGTATGAGCAGCTCTGCCCAGGTACGAAACAAGTGCGAATAATTACCGTAGTTTGGCTGCGCGAAGATATCTGCAGGGGAGTACCTTGAAGCGGGAAGAGGCGGTGACGCGGTTAATGGCAATAACTTAAGAAGTAGCGCGTTGGGCACGAACCCCGATGGCGACGCAAACGGAGATGCCCAACCATGCCGTGATGCCCACTGCCAAACCGGGCAGACATATTGGCAGCCCTTTTCATTCTAGTATCAAACCACGTACCGAATCGGAGTTTGGTTTAGCTGAAGGGAGGGATCTTCTTCCGTAAATGTACAAAGAAAGCCCGACTCGGGCCTCATATTGACCGTTCCTTATTGTTTATTGTCCTATTGTAGGCAATCACAGGACACGGGCGGCGATTGGGATTTTGAAGTAATTTAATCTGCCTGATGAGGACGGGATCAGTCCTCCGCACAAGGTAAGGTACCAAGAGGGGCTCAAGGTGAGGCGGAGGGCGGAGGGCGGAGGGTGGGGGTTGGTCCCTTTGTTTCGGTCGGCGTTACCATTTATCGGCAACAAAGGACACACATCACGTGGCATACCTTTAGCTTCCTCTTCGGACTTGCCTTCCAAAATGTCTTCGACGAGCCAATCATATCAAAGCGCGAAGACCAGTATACCTCATGACAGCGAGGCCACATCTCTCGCTGTAATCACGGCGCATGCAACTAGAGACGATTCGACAGAACCACGTGTTGCCCACCTAGTAATCAGACGCTATGGTGATGATCTGGAAAGTTCTCGTCGAAATGTCGGCATCATTAGGATTGTTTGTCGGCATATCTTGAACGTCCAAGTTTGCCTGATCTCAGCAGCACTTGGTCATCCGGTCGGAACTTCCCAGAACTCCGTAACCGCAACAGGCTATAGCAGGAGCCAATCGTTGTGGAATAAGTGGCGGGAGGTGTCCTCCCGAGAGACAGAGAGAGAGAGAGAGAGAGAGAATATCCAGCTTAGGGGGGGATTGATCGTGACGCTGCTCTTCCCTCTCTTCTAATCTGTTTGCGTATGTTAAGGTGGGAAATAAACGTCAGGAAGCAACACAGCAAGCAACATCAGTTTGGGGTCATCGAATGCCAGATTGAGACGTAATATAGAGTTGAAGAGTTAAGATGCGAGTCCACACGCCATAACGTTTGCCCGTGTTAGGGTATGGATCAATGACTAATACTCTGTAACTCTGCTTTAAGGGTACGTACAGTGGGCGAGCATTGATTTTGGGACATTTCACAGCCAAGTATCTCGTTACTTTTGTGGGACTACTATATGATTCACCAGACTCGTGTGGTCCAGCTAAAGAATTCTACAAAAGATCCGAAAGGAGTTTTACTTTAATTCGTCCCGGAGCTATTACTTACTCACTGTACAAAGTAGTAATATCTGAAGATTGGAAGCATTTCGGAGCCTAAGGTACCAAAACTTACAACGTAAGGTAATTACCTTATTCACAGATACTGGGTCAGGGGTTATCCTAATGTATTCGAAAAGTCAACTCCTATTGGGTCATTAATATGCACGTCTCGTCTAGAACTGATCGCCAAGGCTAAAACGGACTTCGACCTCGATCTGGCCAATCATTGGTGATTCCTGGCTCCCTAAGCTCCTGACACCAGTCTCTTGACCTGACTTGTTTGCATCACGTTAAACTGATGTTCTCTACTGTCTTCGAGGGATGGACGTCCTTGATTCGGGATGAGAGCAATAAACTCTCATTGATTGTCAAACATCCCAAAAACGATCAACCAACGTATTATCAGTCCGCCCGAATCGTTTTGGCGCTTCAACTAGATTCGGCATCAATCGAAAGGTCGGTGGAGGGACGAGCACAATGATATAGTCGAAACGACAGACAAGTGGGACTCAACGTCGACGGTTCACGTATATCCATACACACATATGGCGCCGCCAAAAACTCGAGTGCGGAACTTTCATCGCCGAAGCAAGAACGGGTGCTCAAGCTGCAAACGACGGCACGTTCGATGCGACGAGCGCAAACCGCTGTGGTGAGGATTCGTCCCGTCTGCAATGGCCTCGCACACATATCCAACGGTGGACTCGCTGACCTGGATGTGCTTGGGGTGAAATAGTACATATTGCCTACAGAGCGGTAGTCAGTGCCTGTATCCCGATAGTCCTGGGGCCACTGGTAGGCACCAGTCCCTTATTGCCCTGCCCAGCCTCACTTCATGCAAGGCTGACGGGTTAGCCCCCGTTTTGACGACATATCATCCTTTCTCTAGTCTTGATTGTGACTTCAAACCATCATCCAAGTCCAAGTGGCTGTTCCATCAATGTAAGTCGACTACCTCGTTGTCCGGGGGTGGAAGGGGAGGTGAAAGAGGGACGTTGTCTAGTCTAACGCATCACTTCCACTAGTTGCAACGTTTTCCGTGCAGGGCCAGAGCCCAGTGGAAAGAGGATTGAACGTGTGCTCGTGAGTCTTCTCCTGAAGCCAGTGATATGCATCTGGACTGAGGGCTAACCTTTGCTCTTTGGGCCAGCGTGGAACGAGCTTTGACGCATCCTGGTCTTCTTCATGGCTCGCTCGTTGTTGCGGCCTGCCAGTGGGCCTGGGTAACAGGCTCCCTTGATGATGTCAAAGTTCCCTTTTTGCATCATAAAGCAGCTGCATACGAGTTCGCCAGGCAGCAAATCCTCGACCCAGAGACGGCGTTTACGGACACCACCGTATTCGCCATCGCGGCCCTTGCATTAGTGGAGGTAGGAATTCACGTCGCTTGGTTCGTGAGCCAATGTGAATCAACTTCGATCAGCTGACTGTGATTCAGGGGGCCATGGGCGACCTAAACGCGTCCTCAAAGCATCTTCGAGGGCTCCACGAGCTAGCGACGCGGAAGAATGGGTACAGACTCTGCGAGGTGAACCTGGCACAGCAGATGCTGGAGATGTAGCAACCCCCACCCTTCTCCCAAACCGGTTCGGGTCCGTAGCAAAAAAAAAAAAAAGAAAAAAGAATTGCTGACATGAAGACTGTGCAGGGCGGGAGATCGTCTGCGTGAAGGGGAAATCGACGCCTTCTACGACGCAACGGGCGCCGACTTCCAACCGACGGTGATCGCCTTGATCTTCACATCGTTATGGGACATGTCTAGCCTGCCGCCGAGGGAGGCGCCGAAATACGGGTGGTGGGAGGTCAGCGAGACAGAGAATGACAGGCTGTGGCAAAATTACACCAAGAACCTCAACTGGGAGATATCCCGTAATTTCGACCCCGAACATAACCTCACCAAGATGCTGAATAGCGATCCCAAGAGCAGCCGGGCGAGCTACATAGCAACTTTCCTTTACCTACTCATGGCGCTGAACAGTAGCGACATTGACGGCGTCCTGACGATCTGGCTGCTGGAACAGCTCATTGATGACATACGCGCAAAGGAGGAGGACGTGCGTGCTGGCAACTTCAGCCGGTACTTGTGGTTCTGGAGCGTGTTGTTCGGGGCTGCAGTGGCTGCAGGCGGCCAGCCGAGGACAGTAAAGGAACAACACCAACTCGCCCAGTGGAGAAGCACATATGCCGGGAAACTGAGGCTGGCAAGCCAGCTACTAGGGATATGCCACTGGAGTGAGGCGAAGAAGGCCTGGGCGGAGGTAGCATGGAAAGACGGCATGCCAGGGGAAGCAAGGCTCAGAGCGATATGGGAGGAGTCAATGGTCGGGGACCACCTTGTCCAAGACACGAAGACCCGCCAAATATTGGACTTGACCGACGTGGAGGATGCTCTAGGAGAGCTCTGAGGCTGAAATACTCCGCTGAAGGCAATGGATGGAGACGAATGTGGGAGAACAGACCCTGGGACCGCCAGATTTGTAATTCCGAGGTGAAAGACGAATATAATCTGCGAACAATGCGGGAAGAAGTGTCAGAAGAGAAAGGTTGCAAGGTGAACTCGAGACGTTTCCGGATCGGCTGAGCTTGGCAGGTGCCACGATGTGAATCAATCCGCATAGGCACAATGTCCGTGTTATTTACCTAACGCATTTGAACCATATCCCGGGATCAATTGCCTGTAATCGAATGAACCCCTCGGATGCTTCCAGTCTCCCCCGAAGCGAAGAGGCGCGTAATGTTGGCTGGGTGTCCGGTCCGTGTGGTGACTTACAGCTCAAGATCGACATGAGTACCTCAAATCTGCCATCTCGCGATGCTTGCGAGGCCAAGAACAGCGAGGGGATGGCGAGAAACAGCGGCTCAGACGGGACTTCTCGGCGACCTGTCTCTAGCTTGACACCTTCCAATCCAAGCGCCTCTTCCCACAAGTCAAAGGAGCTGGGAAATCTAGTGGTTGTTTGAGGCGTAGTTGATTCGCAACCAGCTTCGAATTCCCAAACATCTCGGGATTCAAGAGAGAGAAGCGGCGATCAAGCGCCAAGTAGAACCATCTCATTGGACTCACCATCGAGCAGAGGTCAGCTGGTGAGAGTCGCGGCCGGTCTGCAGGTCTGCACCTCTGAAAAGATACGAGGCGAGTTGCAGGAGTCGGGTTATGGGCCAATAATAAATCCTACGCTGGCTTAAAAGATAAGGCAGGAGGTTTCTTGGGCGATGAGTTGTTCAGGATTGCTTTAAGTTAGTATAGTCAGAAGCGCGAGGGGCTGCAGACGGGCTTCAGGCGGAAGGTATGAGAGGGAGGATGTGACAGAAAGATCTGATTATGACATGGCTGGATGCTCCACGACGCTGTGCTGTCTGATTGATGCCACGCCTGTGATCCTTTCTGAAGAGAAAGAGTGTGAGGAGGTCACATTAAAGCGGCCAGCTCGCAATGAACGTTGGACGTAGCCGTACCTAAAAGGTACCTAGGTACCTACCTTATCTATACTCCAACGAAGTACGAAGTACAGGTAATTACCGAGACATTTCTCCGTAATTTCGGTACCAGGAACATAGCTGGGACTGGATATCCGTAATGGGAAACGGAAGAATAGAGTTTTTCCAGACCCACTCAATAACATTAATTCATGGGACCCTGTATAGTATCCGAACTATCCGTACGTACGGAGTAATTACACCGTACGTTCCAGGCTGTAATTACATACACGAAAAGCGAAATTTTTCAAACGGGCGTTAGACGGGAGGGAAGGTTTCGCACCGTCACGGTCCCTCCCGTCCCTCCACGCGCCCCACAATACCGTTTTTAGGCTATCGGTCTCTGGTTTCGTGGACCAGTTCTGGAGAACATCGTCACAACTAACTGCAGAGCCGGGGCAATATCGATATCAGTGATGACGATGTGCATGGCGGCGACACGTATGGATTCACGCGGTAGGAATATGGCAATGGACCGACTCGAGTCGACGTTCGATTACAGAAAGCAGCAAAAGAAGTTGCGAGTGTTAATTAAGGGGTAGGAACACAGGCCGTTTTGTTGGCCCATGCCAACAATTTGTAGCAAGGCCGGTGAATGGCCGACTGACAGCACCCGGTCCATGCATTGATGAGTTGTCGCTGCAGCCATTAAACCGCGAAGGAGGATATGGCTCCGTCAAACCGCAACGATAGGCCAGCAGTGTTTCCCTACTCCCCACCGCGACCCTCCCGAAAGCAAGGGAGCAATTCAGACGACCTCGTCGTCACACAATGAGCCTATCGCGACTGCAGCTCCGAATGCCAACTCAGCGAGTCGACGCATGCGGCCGTTGTGACGACCGTTCCCCTTCGACCAATCTTTATGGGCACTTGTCCACGTCCGCCCGCTGTGAGGTGTCCGAAATTCCAAACGTGTCCTGCAGACAGGGGTCTCTCGGACCACTTGAGAAGCGTTTCCAGCGCTCATGCCAGTCTTGACCCTTTCACGAGTCTGCATTAAAACCCAGTTGCCCCCGCTGACTGCCCGACGCAATCTTTCGTCTCTCCCATTCTCCTATTCCTTCCCAGCCCAACTCCTACATCTTTCTGCCCAACTCAAAGCATCACCCCTGCTGATCCCTTCACGCGACTCTTACTCGCTCTTGATACCCAATCCCCAAGCACACACAATACTCTTTACTTGAAAATACTTCATTAAGCGAGCTCTCTCGTACGGTACACCCAAGAACGGAACCTCAACCCCACAGGCCTTCAAAGCTGCCCATCTTGCCACCACTGGATCAACCGGTTGCACGACACAACTCAAGATCTTCGCCATCTCCCTAGACTAGTTTGTGCTGGTTTGCATTGAGATCCTTGATCTGAGTTGAACAGCTCCAATACTCCCAAGGACTGTTTTTGGACGACCCAAGGGATCAATGACGGCCCTTATTGTTCCTCGTCCGGACATGCCTGGCTACAACTCACTCGACATGGACGACGTCCACACGCCCTCTAGGTACTGTCTTTTCCTTCTGTATCCCGGGGCGGTTCTTTTGCTTTTGTTGCAATCCATGTATACCAGCATCATGTGTGTTTCTTTTTGTCATTGCTCGGTCTCTTCTAGCATTTTCACCAAGGTCCTTACTACACCAGCCGCGGACACCCCAGGAGTACCACAGGATTTTGCTCTCTTGAATGGACCCTATATGCCCAATGGAATTTCATCCCAGGATGTCGGCCAAAGGAACACAGTACTTTGCCTTCTTTTTCCTCCAAGGAATCTTATGCTCTCAGAGAGCAGTCCTGTGAGGGCTTCTCACGAAGTTTCTCTACATGGACTTGTCTAACCAGACACTGGTCAAAGAAAACGTTACATAACCTGCACAAAGTTACATCGTGGTGAGTATTTCCCGTCGAGACTCAACAATAACAATTCCGGATCATGAGGAGCCCCGAGGAATTTACCTGGTCTGGATTTTGCAAACCATCGGATTTATCGCTTTGGATCTTAGTCGCCGGTTTTCTTGGGATTCACACCCGGATGCCACCAAAAGGAGCTTCTTGGAGATTGTCCTTTCCTATGGTCCTTTGTTTCTCTCGCGGTCGATTATGGCCTATGTCTTGATGTGCGGCAGAGTTTCTTGACTGGAGTCAAAAGCTCTTCGTGTTATCAACTAGCCCTTCCTATACAGTCCGGGATCTCTCTTCGACATATTCTCCTTCTCAACCTGTGAAGAAGGATGCTGGATGTTTCATTCCAACCCATAGGATTTACAGACCGACATGCTTTCGAACCTCAATCGGACCGTGGATCAAGTTGTTATTCTCGTACCATGCAACGGATCTTGCCACGCATTCAAGAACGCTCCTGGATTCTTCCTGTCCGAACTCGCAGTGTTTTCTTTCCGCCGACTTGTGGACTCGATTATTGCTCGTGGACATACCTTTGGACCATGCCAAACTCGCCGTGAGGATTCGATTTTGCCGGATTTCCAGTTTTTTTCGATATCAATGGATGCCCGGACAACAACACCAACACCAACCGTTAACTTTACCCGCCGCCTTGTCTTGACTTTCTTGCACGTCTTATCAACGGGGAAAGTTGTTTGAAAAGCATTTATGATTAGTGCTGTCCCTTGGCCTGGAAATTGGACCGACCGTGTCATTTTCTGTTTCCTGGATTACACTTCTCGACTCAACCATGATGCCATGATGCGTCCGCTTCTATGGAAGGTCATATCTGCCCTGGAGAAAATATCTCTTTTTTTTCTTCTTCACCTGGTCTGTCCAACCCGATTCCTCCCTTCCCTGTTGGCACCTGGGATCTTGACTAACCTAATTCCGTGAAACAGGCACAAAGTTGTACTGGGTTGAAATGTCTTTCATTTCAATTTGCCATTTTTCTTTTGCCATATTTTAAAACATTACTTTAGTGGTTACACAGAACACTAACCAATTCCTCAGCGACTTCAGCTTTTACCAGGCCGCTGTGCCACCTACTTCTGGAATGTTTTCCTTTTCTCACACAGGACCATCTTCGGACCACTTGAGTGGTTCGTCATGGGATAACACAGAAGCTGCACAGAACTTCCAGCAAGAGTTTCTAGATACTGGATCCTCCCATCCTGGAGACGGTGAGGAGTTTGCATTTCATCTTGATGGGCATATCACGCCCCGGGGCCAGCTCCCATCCAGTGCCGTTGAGGATTTGCAAAGCCAGTGGACTGGCGTTGCCCCTGCCACAGCCATGTCGTCGGTCCCCCTTGGAGGCGAACCGATGAAGCGAGGAAGCTCTCGGACATCCACTGGAAGCCACAAGCACCGGATTACCAAACCTTCCAAGTCTCGCGGGACTCTCACTATGACATCCCAGATGTCTTCACAATTGTCCGCTCTGGACATGACAGGTAATGCATCTGTCTTCAAGGACTCTCAGACCACCAGCCATGTGGACGGCATGAACCCGTGCCTGTTCCTGGACACCAGCTCGAGCGGCGTCTCGTCCCAGATGCTCTACTCTGAGTTGCCCATGGGCCTTGGGATGGATTCCAATGGTCTCCCTTCGGCCTCTGACATGGCTATGCACGTGGTTCCTGCCCACATGCAGCTCGACCCGGACGCAAGCCTGACCAGCCACTCTCCTTCGGCTTCATGGACCTCGTTTAGCCCTCCAGAGTCACACCTGGCGTCTCCCACTGGAAGTCCAGAGGAGACGTGGCTGCCCGAACCCTTGATGGCATCCACCCCCCGCAGTCAGCACGGGTCACCATCGCTGCAAGCATCGCAGTAAGTGCCTCTTTCTCTCTAGTTCTCACTTCGTCTTTGCCGGCTTCTTACCATTTTGGGGCATTGTTAGGAACGATACCAAGCTTTCGGCTCAGGACCTGATCGGGACCGATCTTTCTGGGAGTGTGATGACCATGGTCGGCGAGGAATACTCTCTGCCTCCTTCCTACACAGCTCGCCGCCCCACCAACGAGGGTGAATCCGCCCGTGATCACCCTCTCTACAAGAATGCGGCCCCGGGACCTGATGGACTGTTCCACTGCCCTTGGGAGGGACAAGCCAGCTGCAATCACAAGGCGGAGAAGCTCAAGTGCAATTATGAGTAAGCTTTAAACACCCTCCAGCAACCCTTCACTTTATTCCTCTTCCAACCCACGTAACCCCAAAACGAAACCGCCATTCTGCGAGACGCAGCGAAAGGGAAAAGGGGGGGGGGGGGGGGTTTAATTCTCCGGGCGAAAATACATACTTACATGCGTGCTTTTCCTCTCTTTTCAGCAAATTTGTGGACTCCCATTTGAAGCCCTACCGTTGCAAGGACCCCGCTTGCGAGAACTCTCGCTTCTCTTCCACCGCCTGCCTTCTTCGACACGAGCGGGAGGCTCACGCGATGCACGGTCACGGCGACAAGCCTTTCCTCTGCACCTACGAAGGCTGCGATCGTGCCATCCCCGGCAACGGCTTCCCCCGTCAATGGAACCTTCGGGACCACATGCGCCGCGTCCACAACGACAACCGACTTCCGGGCTCCCCCACCGCGCCCGCCCAGAATCAGCAGCAGTCCAAGGGCCGGAAGCGCAAGGAGGCGCCCAAATCGGCAGCTGCTGCAGCCAGCCGCAAGGCGGCGGCGAAGGTCAGTGCCATAGAGGCCGCTGCGAGGGAAGCCCAGGCTCAGAGGCCGCTCATCGAGGAATGGACTTCGCACCAGAAGGCCCTCGAGAACATCATCCGTAGCCTCAACCAGCCCGAGGATGGGAGGAACGCACAGCTCATCAAGCAGGCCCAGGGCCACCTCTCCGCCATGGGCAAGTTGAGCATCAACCTGAGTCCCGCTCAGCAGCAGCAGCAGCAAGTCCAGATGTCTCTGCACCGGACCTATTCGTCTACTGGCTGAACAACGAAGGTGAGCCACCTTGACATGAATGCAACACTGAATCCCAGAGACCTAAATCTAACTTGCGCCGTAGCCAGGAGGAACTTGCGCTTTTTGCCAAATGACCGGATCAACCCATCCTGGAATTTGTTGCAGGTGCATGTTCAGAAAAGATTTCAAGCATCTACGAACCCAGCGCCGCGTCGCGCGATATTAGGCCGTGGCGATTATGATCCTTGGTATCAAGGGACTTGCCCACGGACCCGGACCGCGCTTTTCTTTCCGGAAGTCATCTTTCACTCGCGGTCGCCATGTGGACCATTCGACGGCCTCGAAGCTATAAACGCTCGGCCATGAATTGAGATCCCGGGACCAGACGTCGTGGAAGGCGACAAATGCCTGCCCCCCCTTTTTTTTAGGAGCGACCGAATACCCTTTTCGAGTCGAGGCTCAATGGAGGGGTTTTCGGCGAGGAGGACTTTTTTTTCTGTTTCTAAATTTATTCAGAACTGTTAGGGGAGAAAATACTGAATTTTGCAATGGTATCCGAAGAAACAAGAAGAAACAAGAAGTGCTGGCTTTAGTTAGGGAATGCGTGTCTGCGCATGTGCATTCTATTTATAAACGAACTACAATCGAAACGACCTATACATCTATAGTTGTTCAGCGGTTTTCACAGGTGACATGTTGAATATTGGCAACACCCCAACCGACTTGAGACAAAGCAGAGACGGACAGAGGTCAGTGTGGTCTGTTGCGATGATGTCTGTGAGCTCTGTGAGCTTCCATGTTCGAATTGGCTTTCGGCAGTTCTCATCAGGAACATCCTGCTGTATTTCTGCCGCACTGAACGGACAATTTCGTCTTGAGACCGACCTACGTCTTGCCCGGTCATGGCCGATATGTATTTATCTCGTCACGACAACAGACTTCCGAGACAGAGACACCCAGTACATAGATTAGTAGTACTACCCAAGGTACTCCTCTAGCCTGCTTCCCGAGCCTCTTGATTTCACAATCTCTTACTTCTTGTCGCCGCCACCTGTTAACCACGACAGACCCGGGACCTGGACAGGGGCTGCTGGAGGGTACTCTTTGCCCTCGACCTCAACGCGAGGCGTGCAAGTGCACCATTGGTCCTCCGGAACACTGCTCATCGCTGAAGGGATGTGTTTGCCGCATCCCCGCCAAGTCCGCTTAGCTGGGGGGTGGGGGGCGATGTTAGTCCAAGAGTGATTGACTTTCGAACCAGTGTTCTGGAATCGATCAAGACAATATAGAGGAAGGGTGAATGAGGTGAACGAGGCTCGTAAGAAAACAAGGACGGACTCACAGCACTTTGGGCACGTTGTTCCCATACACATTGTAGGTAGATTTAGTTGATGATGTCGATGCCAAGAAAGAGGGGTCAATGATGAATGTTGGGTTGTGGATGGGATGCTGAGGGATTTGATTTCGAGGTTTCGAACTGGTAACTGGTAAGAACTCGGGGGGAAGTTCAGTCTCATCTCAGGTCCGTTCCTGTGAGACACCACTTCATATTATATGCGACTTAATCGCGTCCGACAGACTCGCCTGACAAATATGGGGTGGGTGGAAGCACTCGGAACAACGTCATTTGGTCCCCATGGAAGTTGGACGTCGGCGACGTTTTGGTAACGCCCAGGCTTTCACACTAACCAGTCTTAGCTTTTAGTAGCATCGCCGACCTTGCTACTCGGTGTGCTCTCGGCCGGGGAACGAGAAAGTGGGGCCCGAATGTTGTCGGTCGTTCGTTCACGTTTGACTCGGTGACCACCGGGCGGGCTCCCTACCGGCCATCTTTTCACTGACGGTTGTTCTATTCATATCCGTCTTGCGGCCCCTTCCTCACTGTAGCCGTGACTGACATGTGACATGGCAACTCGGGAACCTTTCCCCGCTTTGTCATGCCAAAAGTAAAGCTTTACTAGGTATATTATACCCCAAGTCACCTTTTCCTTGCTCTGGACATGCCTTAAACATCTTTGAGGAACTCGGCGACGGCCTCATTGAACCGCGACTGTGCGTCTGGCTCCGCGATGGCGTGGCTCGCTCCGGGAACGATGCCTGAAGAGGGATGGACCTTGGGCCCTGCCTTTTTCCACGACTCAACCAACGTTTCTTTGTCGAGAGACGCGGGGGCGTGTTCCTCCTCTCCCGAGTAGAGGACTAACGCCGGTTTGTTGAACCGACCCCAGAACTCAGCGACGACGTCTTCATCGAGGTCGGAGGAGAAATAGTCGTCATCGCCCCTTTGCAGCTGGTCAATAAGTGATACCTCTACACAGGGAGGGACATGTGCAGGCAGGCAGGCAGGCAGGCAGGCTCGAGAGAAAAGTTGCCAACTTGACAATTCTTCTTTCTTTTTGCTCACTCACCCCTTGGCAACAAGTGAGTGCCACCGGTACGCCGTGACGGGCTTGTAGATGTGGTAGACTTGTTCCGGTGTCATCATTTCCTCACCACGATCTTCGGCGATCATCTCGGCTGCCAGCTCGATGCTCTCCTGCAGCTCTTCGGGCTCCAGCAACCCCTCCACAGCCTGACGATCGGACACGGGACCCTGGAGGATAAAGCCGTCCACGGGGTCATCGGTACGCTTGGCGTATTCCATGCAGTCCTGGAGAAATTGATGGTTCGTGAGCCCGGCGCTAACTTGGCCCCCCCTCTCTCACATTTCACATTCCACGGTTTGCGAGTTCCCCAGATGTCTTACCTGAGAACCGGTCGAGTGGCCGAGGAGAACGACTTTCTCCTTGCCAATGTCACGCAAATAGCGGACTAGGGCGGCGATATCCTCCGCGTCATCCTTCAGGCTTGAGTAGCCGTAGCCAGTAAAAGAGCTCCGCATGCGAATCTCAAAGATGGAGTAGCCTGTGCCGGTTGCCTCCAGATGTGTGGCGAGCGGACGCACAAAGGGCACGGTGTGAGGCCCATCGCCTAGGCCGCCGATGAAGATGATGGCGTTCTTGGACCCCGTGGCACCCTGTTCATACGCACAAGCGCCTTTGTAGTGCGAGTCGAGCGGATGGACGATGACCGAGTACGGAGTGGGAGACATGGCGAGATGGTGGAGGGGAGCTTGAGTGACTGAATTGACGGGGTTTTCGACCCTGTTTTTGGCTCAGTGACGAAACAGAAGAGAAGACCGAAGGATGACTAATTGCCCAGGAAAGAAAGTGAAGGTTTCACCGAGATAACACAGACAACTTAGAACTTACTGACTGGAGTCATGTGTTTTATGAGGAGGATGAGCTCCTTGTTAGGTACCGATCGTGTTGAGACGTTGAGAGACGAGCAGACTCCGGCTTCATGCGGAGAACGGATGCCACGCAGTATCATTACAGAGTACAAAGGCTGAGCCAGGGCTGTGGCTGTGACGAGTTCAGGAGTCCGAGGAGGCTACTATGCCGTAATTTACAGTGGGCTATACTGCAGTTAGATACCGTTTTAGAAGGCTTGAAGGCTTGGAGGACGCTGCAACGCATTACTTAAGGCAAGGACGGAAGTCGCTCAACACGGTGTTAAATACGCCGTGTCTAAAGTATAACACTGTACGTCGTTTCCTTAGGTTTTCGTACCCAACCTCATGTACATGTACCCTCTGTGGAAAAGCACCCATGGATTAATTAATTATGTAATTCCTTCATCTCGACGACGACACTCAGAAACTCCACTATTGCTTCTCGATGCCCTCATCCGGCCATCGATGCTCCATCCACTCGTACGCCTTGTCTGTCCATCTATCTTGTAGACGTTACAGCGTTCTCTTCTGCTGGCAGACCATGTTGCGATAAAGATTCGTCCGTGATTGAACGCCTAGGTGGATGGAATTCATGGAAGAGATGACGGGGGCTCATATCCGCCATGACGACCAACAACACGGCCACATTGGCTCGTAATGAGCTTTTCAAGCAGGTTTGTCTCACCTCTCCTATACTCATATTTCCCCGTCATCAAGTATTTCAGCTAATATCACCATGAATGTCAGCTCAAACCATGTTGCGTGCCTCTCAGCCAGATAGCTATCCGCCCCCCTGACGGCGCCCCAGCTGTCCGCAATCTCACAGAGCTAGTCGAGGACCTTAGCGGCATCATCAACCGCCAGGTCAATCGTGATCCGTCTGCTTTTGACGATAAACTCGCAGATTACGTCTTCTTTCCCCTATCTCATGTATTCCGCAATCAGAACTACTATCCCGCCCGCACCATCGAAGTTGCTCTCCGTGGCCTCACCACCCTCATCGTCCATGGATGGAAATCCAAGATAGCGCCCCAAATTGTGGAACAACTCCTCATTCTACTCACTTTCATCGTTGGGGGCGTCCCGGGACAGGAGTCCAAGCATGGTGTCTCAGAAGAGACCTCACTCGAGGCTCTGAGAGCGCTGACTGCCCTCATCACTGCGGCTGGTTCCTCAGCCGCCGCCGCCGCTTCTCTGGTCGAGACGAAGACCATTCCTGCCCTGGGGCACACTGTCACCGTTGTACTCCAGAGTGTCGTTGATGGGAAAGCACCCGACGTTCAAGCGGAAGCGCTCAGAGCTTTGCAGTCTATCTTCACATGCATCAAGGACCATGCTGCGCTTGCTAGTTTCCTTCCAGGCGTCGTTTCCTCGCTAACCAGATTACTCTCCACCCCGGCTCGCGAGAAGACCCGCGTCCTCGTGGCGGCCATATCTGCCCTGAAGGTGGTCCTCGTTTCCGTGCTTTCCGATCTGAGAACAAGATCCATCTCAGCCAAAACACAAACTCCGGAGCAGAACCCCGACGGTACAGATGACGCGAGTCAGAACGTATTGAGCCCTGCCTGGCTCAAAGCCACTGTATCCCAAATAAAACTGGCCTTGGCGACCGTGTTGAAGCTTCGTGCCAGCAAGTCGCAAAGCGTACGGGATGCATTGGGGAACCTGTGCCTGACATTGCTCGACGAGTGTCATACGACCCTGGAAAACTGCGCTCCCATCCTAGTCGAATCGGCCATCATCCTGGAACCCGAGGACGGTGCCTCTTCCACCATGATGGCGACTAGCCTTCAGGATCTTGCCACCATCTATCCGGAACTCGGAGAAAGCGCCAAAGTCACCGTCTACAGCTGGATCACCAGCCTCCCTCGCATCATGCAGTCTGCGGATGAATCGCACAAGCAGACCGCCATTCGCAACCTTTTAAAGGGTACCGAACTGGTGACACGGCTGCAACTCGACTCTTCGACACTGAACGACGCCGTCTCATTAGCCTTGAGAGACAGTATCTCTTTTATGGTGGCCGATGGTAGCAAGCAGGCCATATCGCCAGTATTATCCGAAGACGACGCTCTGTCTAGTAGACAGCTGGCTAGCCCAGGCGGCCTTGCGGCGAACTATCAGCTCGTCGTCATGAGCCAGGAGGGGCAACTCAAGACGAGGTCAGAAATGCTGAACCTAATAGCCAAGATCGGATCCGCTTCCCAACAGGTCAAGTTTGGACTTGAGATGCTAGACTACACCCGTGAGCTCACGGGGCCGTCGCAGGTCGCATCGTATTGGCTTTCTTTTGAACTAGTCAAGGCAGCTTTTTCAAGGTCCAGCGATGTCGACGACTTTCTGGATCTATCGTCCGTGGCAACTACGTCCGACGATCCGGAAACCGCACTCCAAGAAGTTTACACCTTCGCTGTGTCGCTGCTAGATTCACAGGACGAGTCGACCGAAATCGACTGGAGACTCGAGGCCATTGCCCTTGAGGTCACTGCCTACGCCGCCTCTCGTTCGGGGGAAGCATTCAGACCAGAGCTCATCGACGTCTTGTACCCCGTCACGACTTTCCTGGGCTCCCCTCATCCCAGGTTACGAGAACACGCTATCACGACGTTGAACATTGTCGCGGCCTCTTGTGGATACACCAGCGTCTCGGAGCTCATCATCGAGAACGTCGATTACATGGTAAACTCCGTCTCCCTCCGAATGAACACCCTCGATATCACTCCGGCGTCGACCAAGGTCCTCACAATGATGACAAGACTCACTGGTTCTCGTCTTATCCCGTACCTGGACGACGTTGTAGCGTCCATCTTTGCCGCCCTTGATAACTATCACGGATACCCTGTCTTCGTGGAGAGCCTCTTTGCCGCCCTCAAGGAGATTGTTGAGCAAGGCGCTAAGTCGGACAGATTGCTTCTCCAGGGCCGTGAAAATGGCCCGTCCACGCATAAAAAACATCGTCCGCAACCAGTGACGATAGACGATTTGGTGGACCTTTTGGACAGACGTGAAGAGCGACGAAAGCAGAGAGAAGAGGAGGATGTCACAGCCGAGGCCGAGGCCAAGGGCCTGCAAGCCCACCCTCAACGCCCCTGGGGTCCAGGGAAGAACAAGCCAAAAGGAACATTCATAGAAGAGATGGAACGGACCGAAGGAGAAGCCGAAGAGGAGACCCGAGGGGACATGGACATCGAAAAAGAGAAACCACCCAAAACACCAACGTATACCCTGCTGGAGAAAGTCGCCTACCTGACACAACACTACCTCACCTCCCCTGCCCCGACGCTCCGCAAATCGCTCCTGGACCTCCTCACCACCGTCTCCCCCGCCCTGTCTCCCGACGAAGACGCCTTCCTCCCCCTCATCAACGCCGTCTGGCCCGTCGTCGTCGCGCGCCTGTACGACGGGGAACCCTTCGTCGTCCTCGCGGCCTGCGACACTTTGGGCATGCTATGCCGTACGGCGGGGGACTTCCTGGCTTCGCGCATCAAGACAGAGTGGTGGGACGCCCTCGGGAAATGGTGCCGGGAGAAGAAACAAGCTGCGGTGCAAGCCAAGACGCGGAACAACCGGATCACAGCCCCGCGGAGCACAGCGGGGGATACCATCCTGGTCCCCTCTCGCGCGGGAGGTACCGTCGCAATGACGCCGTTGTCCTCCTCATCACCATCCTCATCGGCGGTAGGCGCGGGGACGGTAATGAACCGAGAGGCTGGCGGTGGGCTGGGGAAGTTCGCGTCCGCAGCGCAGATCTGGGAGGCCACCGTGCGGCTCCTCGTAGCCATCGTTTCCCATGTCCGCATCGAGGCTGAGATGTTCGACGAGGTGCTCGGGCTCCTGGCGGATCGGCTGGAACGGGATCCCGAGGTGCGCGAGGCGCTCGAGACCATCAATCCCGATGCTGTGTGGTTCGCATTGTACGAGCTGGGCGTTATCGACCCTCTGCCGACGCCAGTCATGGAAGGGGTCGAGTTTCCGCCTATGAAGAAGAGAGTCGGGTTGTAACGGGACTGGTACGCGATAGGGGCTTGTTGGCCGCTTCAAAGCCGGGGGTGGCTCAAGAGTCTGTAACTGTATCATGAATACGGGAGACGAGAAATCCAGTGTAAGTACCACAGATCAATAATAACACTCTCTTGATGTTTATATGTGATTTTGTGTGTATTGTATGTATGCGTATGTATTGGCCAAGCTCACACTACGACTAGACAATGCAGCGAATGTGTTTGAATGTTCATGATGTTGGTTGGCCCTGCCCAGCAGTTCTATATGCAAACATATCTTACTCCAACCGTACTGAACCGTGACGGCGACGACGATAACGGCCAAAGAATCTCTACCTCCTAGGCCTATCTTCGACCTCGGCATCGATGTCCCGTTCCACCATCTCGAGGGAGCTCAAGCTGGGGAACCGCTTCGAGAAATTCTCGATATAATCGTTCTTCTCCTGAGCCGTCATGTCTAGAAGTGGCTGACCCGACAGCTCTAATGCGACTAGATGTTCTGTGCCATATTGTGCCTGGCGCGGGTAAGGAGCAGTAGCTCCAACCGTGGGAAGGTTGTTGAGGTGGACCGGCTTCTTAGGTGCGGGCGGTTTCGCCCCCTGGGCAAGACGCGGCGTCGTTTGGGGAGGATCCGCCGCAGGCTGGCTCGGCTTAATCGCCCCAACGTCCTGCATGTTGGATGGGGGTATGACCGGTCGGTTGATGGCCTTCCGGGAAGTAGTGGGCTGAGGTTTCTCGACACGGCTAGCGGCCGTGGCGGCGTCCGAATAAACTCCGTAACCTTCGGCGGTCCGCGGAACCTGATCAGACTTCTGCCCATCGTCCAGCAAGCTCTGCACTCGGTGCTGGATGCTGATGGCTTTCGAGACGGGTTTCGGCGGGAGGGCTGGACGGGCAGACAAAATCGGAGCCCTGGTCGCCATGCGCTGGCGGTACTCAGCCTGTGCTGCCTCCACACGCCTTTCCTCCTGGATCAGCTGTTGCCGTTCGAATTCCCGCCGCATCTCGGGTGACATGTTCTCATCATGGGCCTGCGTTTGTCCGTCATCACTCCGTCCATCTGTAGCCTCTGATCCCGCAATCGGAGTCAGATCGCGCCGGTCAAACTCTTTGTCTGGTGACGGAGTCCGGGATGCCGCAGGGGGTGGCTGATGACTCTCGAACCGCTTGAAGGCCTCTCCAAATTTCCCGGTCAGGATGTTCTTGGAGCCCGTCGAGAGGCTGGTACTAGGTCGTTTAACGTGCCAGGAGCTCCGGTCCTTCTTCCCACCGGTCTCCTCCAAGCTTCGCAGAAACTCAACGTTAGATTCAATGTTGATTTCATCCTCGGGCCCGGCGGCGGGAGAGGGGGTCTTGTCGGTGTATCTGGCTAAGGGGAATCCAGAGGAGCCCATTGGTTTGGATGTCATCTGCCGCTCGCGCAGATAATCAATGCTGGACTCGAGGTGGGTGCTAGCCGGTCTCTGTCGTCCTACGGATTCTGCACTGGGTCGGGCCCCTTCGAGAGATGGTCGCGAGGATGAAGGCTGCCGTTTATGAGAGGACGGATATTGGGAGGACATATTCCTAGGGTTAGAAGCGGGCTGGTTCTCCTCGAAACGCGGAATATTGGGAAGATTCGGCTCTTCCATACCAGGCCTCGGCGCACTCGTGGCCCGTTGGCGGTCTGGGGACGGCACCCGCCAAATGGGGGGCGGCATTGCTTCTCGCGGCTTCTCTTCGGGCGGTGGGGTCGTCATGGTACCCGTGGACACGTAGTTCTGGGTAGAATGGTTCGAGATAGCCTGCAACTCGGGGTTGCTGGTAATGATAGCAGACGCTCGGCTCATCTCCGCGGTCTTTGGTGGCGCAGACAAGGTCTTCTTCAAGTCGGTTGCCGATGGTGCAGGCTTCACATTCAACGGCAGATGGGTGGTAGCGTCCGTCGGAGCGACTGTGCGAGGCCTCGAAGGTATCGGGGACGTGGAAAGGGTCGACTGTGGTTTCGCAAATGCTTCGTCGGCCAAGTGTTGCGCTACTTTCTGATTCAAATCATCCTGCTGTTTGAGCGGGGGTGAAGTAGGCGAATCGAAGCTGAATTTGGAACCATGGTCATGAAGCAGAGAGAACTGTTCAAGACTAGGAAACCGAGAAGACGGGCCAGCTGCCGTCTCTCCCTGACCGGCGGATTTAGAATCCAGCGCGGCAAAAGGGTCACCACTTGTCACACGGACAGAAACGGGGGTTGGCTTCTGAGGTTGTTGAGTAGCTTGGTGGGCAGTAGAGGGCGGCCTGCCTCTCCTCATGGGCACAATGTCTGGGATTGTCTGTTGTTCCTTACGAGGAGGAGCGAAGACGGCACCGACAACGGCGCTTGAGTTCAGCTTCTCGGTCGCGTGAGGCTTCTCGCTAGACCGGATTTCCTGGTAAGTGCGCCCAGAATAGATCTACGAGATGTCAGCGTTTGACTTCGCCTCCAAGCGGAGATCCTGGACACTGACATCAGGGATGGGAACTTCTCGGCCCTGCATGGCGCATGCCTCTCGCAGGACCTGGTAAATGTTCGGTCTGGATTGCGGGTTCTCACGCAGCAGGGACGCTACGGAAGTCATGGCGCCATTAGTATCCATGGCTTCAATTTACGTGGGAGGAAAACCATCTCACCGATTAGTTTTTTGAGCCTGTCCGAGAAGACAGGATGGCTGTGAAACCTGTAACTGGCATTCAGGATGGCAAGCTGCCCCTGGTCCTCGAACGGGGTGGTGTAATAACACAACTTGTAGAGCAGCACACCCAGAGCCCAGATATCGGACTTCTCATCTATCGGTTGTTTTCTGTAGACATCGACCATCTCGGGACTCCGGTACTGGAGGGTGGTATGCTTTTGCACATCCTCGTCTACGAGACGACATTCCGCAACAGTCTGGGGTGCAGGTCTCGGAGGTGCTGTGGACCCAAAGTCGCAGAGCTTGAACCGCCTTTTTGAATCTTGAGTCGAGATCAAGACGTTCTCGACTTTAAGATCTCGGTGCAGCAGCGGAGGTTTGAGGTAGTGCATGCATGCAACCCCCTCGGCGACATCTGTAAAAATTTGGAGGATCTCGGGTTCGGTCAGCCGGTGCTGGAGTCGGGTGTTCATGAAGTCGATCAGACCGCCGCCATTGCAGTATTCCATCAAGAGGAAGACCTCGTAGCCGCCACCATGGAGCTCAGACGCGTGCGAGTCGATATAGGTCACGATCGGGTGGTGCCCCTTGAGTCTCTTCATTGTTTCCACTTCGGTGCGCATGCCCTTCAAGGCCTCCTTGTCTGGAACCGCAACTCTTTTCAGGACAGCCAAGTCTGTGCCATCCAGGGGCTTTGGAAGCTTGACCAGGTACACATGGGCAAAACCACCCTCTGATAGGTATTTCTGTATGACAACCCGGTGGGAGCCAACCTGGATCTTGGTCCCAGGCGCGAAGGTGCCAGCTGGGGCTGTTGCCACATGACTAGGTATCGGGGCACCGTATACTACTGGCTGATGCGGGCGAGGGGCAGTCGGAGCCATAGGGTGACCGTGAGAAGCCATTTCAGAGAGTGGAATGGCGGGCTTGTCGTGTTAAAAAACCGTTAAGGAAGCCGTGATGTCGGTCTAGGCGTCGAGGACGAGGCGGTCGCGGAGGTTCGGTGGGGAGGGGCAAGGGGGATCGTGAATGCCGGCAAGATATGCATAAGATGAGCTGCAATGCGCAGCTAAGGCATTGGAGAGAGTTTAAGGTCAAAGCAGTTCTAAGCAAGACATTTTTTAGAAAAGGAAAGAGGCGGTTGTTTCAGTCGTTAAACAAGCGGAACTGTTGCTTTTCCAAAGCGAGGATATCAAAGGCAAGGCACAGGCACGTCCTTGGACCAGGAAGGTAGGAGTGCGGATACTTTCTGTCTGTACCTTTAATTACCTTGGTTACGTGTACATACTCCGTAATGTTCAGTTCAGGTACGGCAGAGTTATGCCTAACGGTACATCGCGTCCTTTGTACTCTGCCATACCTTACCTGAGTTACACCTGCCGTCCTGATTTGGTTGTCACATTACCTGCTGGTGCCAAGACATATGTTGTGCTGGGGTAAGGTAATACCTTGTAGGGTACAGTGGGTGAGCAATAATTTCGGTACATTTCAAAGATCCAGTGATTCGTTACTTTTGTCACATAATATGGGTTTTGCCCTAATAGAAAAAAGTGTTCCCCAAAAGGTTCGAAGCATTCTACTTTGGGTTATCCCGAAACTTTTGCTCACTTACTCTAATTACGAAGTGACTGCGAAAGTACAAAGGTACGTATCCGTCTAGAAGACCGGGAGGTAAGAGCAGTCCTCCCCGCCACCCGACGTTTACACTACCTTATCAGGACCTGGATCCTTATCGATAAGTGCTCCTAAATTTTCTCTGGGTGTTCCTCGAACTGGCGAGTTGTGATGCTGATTCCTGTTTATTACTTCCCTGAAAGAGAACAGAACATCAACACCAACACCAGCAACAATGGCAAAGAGAAAGAGGGCCGAAGGCGCTACTGTTACTGGCAGTAATGCTACAGACCTGGCACCTTCCAAAAAGGCAAGAGGAACTGTAGCTTTGGATTCAAAATCGCCATCGCAACCCCAACAGCGACAGAAATCCCCGACCAAAACCCAGCCCAAGCCTGAGTCCAAGTCTCAGTCCCAGTCTCAGTCCCAAGTCCAACATTTTACCACAGATGGCGGCCTTACCCTCCAAATTGTTACCGGCTCCTACGACCGTGTACTTCATGGAATATTAGCGACTGTGACCCCGGAAGGCAAAGTCGAATTCGCCGACACCTTCTTGTTCAACGCGCATCCTTCGGCCATTCGATGCGTTGCCCTCTCCCCGCCGACCAATCCAGCCCCAGGACAGGACCAGAAGGTCCTGCTGGCTTCGGGCAGCACCGATCCGAAAGTCAATATCTACACTCTTTCCGCGCACCCTCCGAAACGTCGAGAAAAGGACGAAATGTCCTCGGCCGGCCTGCGCCCGATTCTTGAAAACTCGAAGAACAGGGAACTAGGGGCCTATAATCCCCACGATTCGACCGTCACTAAACTCGTCTTCCCCACACGGTCTAAGCTCATTTCCTCGAGCGAGGACTCCACTATCTCTGTGGCCAAGACGAGGAACTGGGAGACCATGAGCACGATCAAGGTGCCAATACCAAAAGCGCAAGGCCGGCCGAGCGGCGACACGGCACCGCTCGGGGGCAGCCCGGCTGGAGTCAACGACTTTGCCGTCCATCCTAGCATGAAGTTGCTTATCAGCGTCAGTAAGGGCGAGCGTTGCATTCGTCTATGGAATCTCTTGACGGGGAAGAAGGCGGCCGTGCTCAACTTCGGCCGAGAGATGCTTCAGGAGATTGGGGAAGGAAAACACTCGACCGGAGAGGGCAGGCAGGTGGCATGGGGTGCGACGGCGGAGAGCGAAGAGTTTGCCGTGGGCTTCGACCGAGACATCGTGGTGTTCGGGATGGACAGTCTTCCCAGGTGCCGCGTCATGCCCGATGCGCGCACAAAGATCCACCATATGGAGTATATCTCTGTCGACGACGTGAGCGAAACGACGCTGATCGCCGTATCCACGGAGGATGGGAGAATACTGTTCTGCTCGACCCGGGAGGAGGACCTGACACGACCTCCGTCTTCGAAATCCAAAGAACAGAAGCTTCCTGTCGCTAAACTGGTGGCGCAAATTGGAGGCAAGGAAGCCGGCGTTACCGGAAGGATCAAGGATTTCAACGTCGTGCGCGTGGAAGAACAGAGCCAGACGGTATTCTACCTCGTTGGCGGAAGCAGTGACGGCAAGGTGCGGTTATGGAAGGTGGGTGCCAAGGAACTGCTGTCGCGCACCCAGGAGGCTACGGCCGGAAAGCCAGACAAACAGACCGAGCCCGAAGCCTCAGCCGCAGCTCCCCAAGTGGGCAACCTTTTGGGGGCGTACGAGACGAACAACAGAATCACCTGCACGGCGGCGTTTGCCATGATACCCCGGCCGGACGGTGTCGGCGAAAGTGATGACGAGATGGACGACCTGGAAGAGGAGACGGAAGACAACTCGAGCGACGATGGCGACGAGGGTGGTAAAGACGAGTAGGGAACGAGGGAGAAGAGAAGGGATGATGTCGGAGTACCTATAGGGCGGCGCGTCCAGAATGGGCATTCGCGGGGCAACATTGTAATTGCACAACGCTCATCTACTGATACCAAGTCACCATTTACTCCGTACCTACGTTATGTTTTATATCCTAGATTCTTGTCACTTTTGTCACCTTATCCACTCTAACCAGTCCCCAAGATCCGGGTCAACCCTGACTGGTAAATTAATCACGGCCAAGACCTTCCCACTGCTGTACGTGTAGATGGGGTCTGGGTTATGGGTTGCGGGTTGCGGGGTAATTACAGAACAACCCCACAGTCCACTGGATTGAGGCTTGTTATGGTGTCTCGCGACCTCGGGAGATATATCTGGCCCTGGTCATCTCTATCTAGACGAAGCACTTGGCAAAATTGCGACGGCATAGCGAGTGTTGCGCAGGGGATGAGATTATTTTTTTCTTCCTCCCTCTGCCGAGTTGCGATAACTTTGCAGATTGACTGGCGACCTCCGAGTTGGTAATGCTGCCGTCGTCTGATTAAGCAGACCAATAACCCCTTAAATTGGAAGATCACTTTGCGTGGCGAAGTGGCATGTCCAGTGGCCTGACAAAAGGATGAAAGCGATCTGCAGGATGATGGCTATGTATACTGCTTCGGTCCTTTTGGCCGCTGACTTTGAATTACTGTTTCCTGTTTCATGACAGTCCACCGCATAAGGTATGCCATGTATAAGTACCGGTATATGTACCTTAGGTTGTAGAGTTGATGCCGCCTTACCGGGGAGGCGACCTATCAGCGTTTTCGGATTCTTCTGTGTCACTTCACCGGCAGTACATGTCCCGCTGAATTCACGAAACCCGCAAATCAGACGAAAGTACAGCTGTTCACTTTTCTAATTCGGCCTGTCATGTGGAAGACAGATTCACAGCAATAATGCTGCTGACCTGTAGACAAGGAAGCACGTACGGATAGGCGTTTCAACACCACTTACCCCTACGTACCGCACATGCAGTTACCTTGGAATAGTGGAGCCGTGGCTGTTAATTACTTCGTGCTTCCCGCCTTATTTTGCACTGGCATGTGAATTTATATCTCCTTGCTCGCGTTCCATCTGTCCAACTTCTCTGCGAACCTAGACTACATAATCTACCTGCCCTTCCCCTCTTTCTAGGGACCAACCCGTCAGGCTCGTCATCCCTCCATTCGTCTTGTTCAAATACGCAGGCTTACTCTCTCTTTCTCCCCTTCTCCCTCTTGGCCATCTTTTCACTATCCAACCAAGCCAACATGTCTGACGATGGGCCTCCCCTCTTCCGACCCGTGCCTCGCCGACCCTTCAAAGTAAACTTGGAGGCTCCAACGTCCCGAGACGACAGGTCGCCCTCCCCTAACTCCCATCACGATGCGGATGCTCCGGCGGCCAGCCCACAATATAACGGTTTTGCGGCTACGACGCCATCCGAATCGACGTCCTTGAGCCGCACGCAGAGCGTCATCAACCTTACAGGCTCTACCCTCTCCTGGATATATTCTCCCTTGTCATCAAGCAAAGATAGGTTCGGCAGGGAAGAACTAGATTCACCATGGGGAACCGGCGCCCAGACACCCATAAAAAGGCCCAACCTCGACGATGCCACGTTCGAGGTTATGAAGCAACGCTCTGCCCTCCGAAATAAACGTTCAGCGCACGCAAACCCCTACAGCACTCTGCCTTCGTCTCCGAAATCGGCCCTCGCGTCAACGGTCATGTTCGCGTCCCGAATCGTCCTCCTCTTTCTCTTGGGCATGGGATACGGTGTCTTGGTGACGCGGCTGCATGATGGACAGAGATGGAGGGCGCTCTCCGTTGACGGCATTATCAATACCGGATATAACTGGACTATACTTGTTTTCTGGGGTGCGGCCGGCGTGCTTTTGGGTGCCCTGCTCCCGTGGTTCGATGGCGTATGGGAGAGAGCATTCGGCGACGATGATGCAGCGGCGGCAGGAAGGGAGGACGATTCGCCCGACAGCGAGGAGGACAACCGCGGCACCGACTGGACTCTTATGGTTCGAGGCATTGGGGCCTTTGTCGGCATTGTATTCGCCATTGTATGTTGCTCCCAACCCACTCATAGCA